GGTGCCTATTTTACGGTTTCCAAGCTTTTGCAAAAGCTCAACACTCAAATCCCCCACAAGATCTCATCGTCAGCTACATTTTCTGACCCCACATCGATAGGTTCTGATAAGCAGTTTTCGAGATTTCAAGCAATTTAGGCAACGGTGCACTACTATTAGAGAAAATACGGTATATGAATTAAAAAAGGAGTTCACAGAGCCATAGAAGGCAAGCGTTTGAGCGGGGAGACCTTGAATCATGCGCATTGCTTTCTCTAGTACATATTTGTTTCCTGCAGTTTTTGAAAAGTCTTCACTTTTAGGTGAAATTTTTCTCCAAATCTGAGTCTAGTTTCAATCTTTTATGCGTCTAGAGTTAGTTGTATGACAGATCAGATATCAGAAATAATCTCCGCTGAAAAAGCTTCCAAAAATTTCTTTAAATCCCAACAGAAGCCGAACAGCTTTTGGATCTGTTTGTTTCTGAATCTGGTTTAAGATTTAAGTAATAGTAGTTCTCGAAAAAGTATTTAAACCATCAACAAAAGGTAGTTTAGACAATCGATTTATTCAGACGTTTAATTCCAATTTGTATGCAAATTGCAAACAGCCTTTGGTCAGAATGAGTCCCTAAAAAACTTCTGGCATTGTATTTTTACAGTCGTACATTGTACATGCGATGCAAAGTTTGTCATCATACATCATATCTTAGAACGATAAAGCTCTGTTTTGGCAAAACATTCAAATAACCTATGTTTTCTCAAATTACAGAGCGTCTCCGATACGAAATCGCCACTCCATTGCCAACATTACAATCAATGTCTCAAGAAGTAAATCCCGTGGTCAACCGATTCAACGGATATGCCTATGACCATCGTAATTGTTTTGGACAGGACATTTACGGGAAAAAATTAAATTCTTCCAGATTCGGGCTCAATTCAAACTCTTTAAAAATGTTTTTAAAATTTTTTGCTGCAAAGACAGTTTACTTTATAAAATTCTTTGAGTGCAAATTGATATCTCTTCTCTGCGCTTCTCACAAAGATAACGGAAAATCCCAAGAAAAATCCGAAATTTGAAAAACTATACATAGATTTATTCAATTTATTCACAGATCAACCTTTCTTATCCAAATTTAAACTCTCCATCCCTCACATCTTTGAGAATATTTTGCAAGTTCGTGATGAAACCATCGATTACAAAAAACCATCCGGCAATGAAAAGAGTTAGATCAATCGAGCAATGAATCATCATCCATCGATAATTTTTCTCTTTAAGCCACTTTGGCAAAAATGTAACCGTGTGACAGATTGATGGGATCACCAAAGCAAGCAACATTCCTGAATACAAGTGAATGCATACAAGTTTTTAGTAATAAAGAAATGTAGGAACTGGCAAGAACAGATAGATTTCCGGAGAGGGGATTGAACCTTCTACTTTTTCCTTTCCGGGCAATTGTACTAACCACTGAGTTATCTGGTACCTTAACTTGACAAGAGAAAGAAGGAAAGACAAGGAAAAAGAAGAAAGGAAGAAAGAAAGAAAGAGAAAAGAAAAGAAAATTTAGAAAAACGAAACAAACCAGCTGTGACTCCAACAAGTGGAATAATATCATCAAGCTTTGGCACAACAATCGCCAAAAGAACTGAAAGAGAAGTTGTTTGAGAAATTTATGAAAAGTCACTTACAAGAGATGAAATTGAGGAAAATCTTGAAGAGAAATTCCCAGAGAACGAGTAAACGGGGGAAGAAATTTCGGTTTTCAATCTTTTCCTAAAGATTTAAAGCCAATTTTTTAAATATTTCAAATATTTCAAACCTTAATGAAGGGCCAGGCCATGTCAACAATGACAAATTGTTGAATGAGATAACTTGTGTAAACAACTAGCACCAGTAGAAGTTTTACATAGAACCAAATGCTGAAATTTGGTACAATGATGTAATTGTTTACGATAGCTTTTCAAAAAAATAAGTATCTTTTAGAAAAAGCTAGAGAAACACATGATTAACTACAAGAGTTAGTGTTTCTTGAAAAAGTTTTTCAAACTCAACTCACCCATAATTTGGTAGATTCAATCCAATACTCGCCGCTGTATCATCACCGTATGTGATATAGCCAAGAAAACCGACACCCACGTAAACTAAAAGAAAAATTCTATTCTATTTTAGATCTATGAAAGTTTTAGAGATTTTTTGATGAAGCCCACTGAATGTGACGACTCCAACTCCAATAGAAAGCACCCCGAAAACTCCCATCATTTGTTTTGGTTTCTTCATTTTGTTCGTTAACGGAAGAATCTGAAAATGTAACTATAGAAAAAAATAGCAAAAGCAGTCGTAAATTGACTTTTTTTGACCATCTCAAGTTAAAAAAAGCGCTGAATACCGAACTATGGCCTGTCCTTCAAATGAGTAGAGAATAGCTCCCGCTGCCAAAACCATTCCACCAATACCCTAAAATTCGAGAAATGCTTGAAACAGTTGTGTAAATCTGATAATCAATATTTTGCTTGAATATTGGTAACAAAAAGAGTGAGATATAAAGTCACCTGCACAGCTGGAAGTGATCCTACATGATGCTCGGAACGGACGAGTTCCTAAAACATTTATAAACCTTGATGATGCAAATTTTCAACCCAAAAAAGCCAAAGAAAGCAGACTAAGTTAAAAATTTTTAAGAATTAAGCAGGGGTGTACCCTGAAAATTCATGAATTAGCTCTGGATTTAGCAGCTCATTTACTTGTGTTATTGCAAGCAATGCCGTTGACACAAAAACATTCCCGGCGAGCGCCACAAATGAGATCACTCTGTAAATCTATCATTTTTGATTTGATCAATGGATTTTCACTCACCGAATACTTCTCACCAGCACTAATAAAGTCACAAATCCAAACTCAATCACATAATATAAAGCAGGACTGATCGAATTTGATGGTGACTTGTAGTCGACTAACTCAAAAAATCTTATTGAAATAGGTCATCTAGGTAAAGAAAATGAACCTCTTTCGCGTGCTCTTTGATGAAAACGACATAACTTGAACAGACGCCTAATTGAAAGCCAAAAATGCACGTGTTGATTGCATATCTGAAGGAATTTAGCTGAACCTGCTGAACCTGGCTTCGATTTAAACCTCATCGGTGTGGCAAATCTTCGTAGAGGGGGTAAGCTTTTCTCAAATGCTTTCTCGGCCATCCAACCGTAATCCAGAGACTCGAAATTATGCCTAAACAGGATGAGCAATGTACTTTTTTTATGTTCCTTTCAAAAAGTTTTGGTTATCAAGTCAAATCTAGTCTCATTTAAAAGTCCTTATAAATAGGATAAATAAATAAATCTAATCCTTATAAATAATTAAATCTCCACCTAATCTCATTTAAATGTTAGTCGAAATTCCAAATCTTTTTATTTTTTTACAAGAAAAAACAAACTCTTTCGCCAAGTAATGAGCACAAAGGACAATTTTGCGGAAAGTGAAGTAACTGATGAAACCAAAGAGACTCATCAATGAGAAACCCATCTAAAAAATTGTTTGCTATTAATTTTACATTGAGGCAAACCCATAGTCCGGCTTGCTTGAATGCATATGGCAATGAGAGGACTCCTGCGCCGACCATTGCTTTGATTAAGCTCACCAATGTTTGAAGGTAACTGAACAAGGAAAGATTAGGTTTGAATATTGAAGCGGTTAGTTTATTGCTAGTTTTGATTAACTCTAAGATAATTTTCTTGCTCGTTAAATTCTGTTTCATCCAATTCAACAAGAACAACAGATTTTCAAACATTTACTGAATGCTTTTAACCCACTTGATCTCTCCTTGATGCGCTAATTTGTTCTCAGATTGAATCTCGCGAAAAATCATCGAATTTGAACCATCTCTACAAAGAATTCTTTGAAATAAAGAAAACTAATCAACTTTAAAAACCTCTCAAAATCCTTCTCCCCATGATCAACACCGATATCCTTTTCATCGATAATTATTGTTTCTTTCGCTGAGTTGATTGATCCTTTTGGCAGCATTGAAACCCTTAAAATCCTTTTAAATTGAATAACGGTTCTCAGATAAATTCAATAATAAAATGCAGAAGCTGCTCTTTCTGCAAATAAACGTTTTTTCAGAATCTGTTATCAGAAGGATTATTTCTTGGAAGCAAAGCTGAGTTCCAAAAACCACAAAGCAAGCCCATTAAAAAGATTGCAGTGATCTCAATGAATTGCACACGTCATTTTCGATTCAATGATTGAATCAAACACAAAGATACTTATTAGATTTGACCTATCAAGTCCTATTAAACGCAAAGTCGATAGAAATGCTATCAAAAAATTCAAGAGTTAGTAACTAACTGTCTTACCTAACACCTTACATCTTACCAACCCTTTTCTAAAATGATTTAACACGAAATCAAAGACAAAGTAACAAGAAGGTTATTTAGATTAGCGCTTTAGTTAAAAGGAATTGATTAAATTAAGTTTATATGGGAAGTACCAAAATATTCGAAGACAATGGAGTAGAAGGAAGCCGAGAGAAACGAAACAAAACCATTTTAGAAATTTAAACAGGAAACATGGGCAAAACAATATAAAAAGGAGAGAACGAACGAGGGGAGAGAGGGTACTTTGAAAACGCGCTACAAGAATGTTATAGATTTTACAGAAGGGGGAAGAAAACTTAGCGGGACTCGGCGTAAAAACTGAACAAAGGCTCCGACTCCCTCGTGGAATGCAGAAAAGTGAAAAGAATGGCAAAAGGGGGTTTTTGTGCGGGGTACGGTAACGCATCCAGACTTTAGAAAGCGCACCGCTTTCGCTCCAATCCCTTTAAACCGCACCTAAAATCTAACTAAAGTTTTATCAAGCTTAAACCAAATTCAGGTCTAAATCATAAAATTTTGACCTCATAGAAAAGGATTAAAGCTAGCAAGGGGCATTTTACTAACGTTTTAATGTAGATTTAGTGAAGCTTCAATGAGGATTTGATAAATTAGGTTTTACAAATTGGATATGGATTTTACCCCTTTCTCTACAGATTTGGTTCCTTTTCTCAACAGATTTGGTCCCTTTTCTCTCCAAGTTTGGTTCCCTTTCCCTAAAGATATGTCTCCGGTTGCCTACAGATTTGGTTAACATGTATCATGTACTCATAGTTGTGCATCTTTTTCTGTGACTTGAGAACATTTGACCTTTCGGTAAAAAACCTCTATCTCTACAAAATGACTGAAAAATGTTTGAATGGCAAAAAATAGTTCCTCTTCTGTGTGAGCACCAAAGAAACGCTCAATTTGAAGATGCTCATTTCTTTACAACCTTCAATTAAATGACACAAACTCATTTTGATCTTGTCAAACCTTTACTCGAAAAAAACTTATTTCAATTAAACTCTAAGTCAGTTTCTTTTATAGTTTATTTCCATTTTTCAAATCTTTATGCAAGTCAGCGATTTCTATATTACGATAGAGGATCCGGAGTGGCAAAAGGTGGTGATTATTGACGCTTTAGAATATCAAAGACTTTGGCTATGTTATCCATGTTTAAGAGTTAGCTTGAAATAACTTCTTTTAGCTTTTTTGGTACTACAATGGCTATTTCACGATTGTCATCAATGCTTTCGGTGCCTATATGATTCTATTCAAATCATCAAAAGATATGAAAACTTATAAATATTATTTATTGCACATTTTGGTAAGTTAAAAGACTGCAGAACAAGAAAAAGTGCTAAAATTTAGTTTTGGTGTTTTCTCCAAGATATCATCGTGAATTGGTTCTTTTGTCCGGGGTTTCTCACGCCTTTGGAGGGTTGTTATGTGTCAACTGCTTGCTATTACGCTAAATTCCCTTCACAATGGATTTGGTGGGAAATTGTGAGTGTATTTTCTTTAAAAATAGCTAGATGAAAGCTTGATTACAGATTTTCACAATGGTTGTCATGCAAAATGTCACCATGTCATTGGTTGATTGTTTCTTTCATAGATTGTGGTGTTTAGAAGAAAAGAAATGGTATCAATCGACAAAAACACGGCAATACCTGGTGAGTCTCTAAAATATTTCATTAATAGATTTCTCTTGACACCAATAGCAATTGATTTCGCTAGTTGTACTTATAGTTAGGAAACGCCAGTTGCTAATTTCCGTCTTTTTCTGCATTAATACATTTTTTAGAGTTATTTACTAGTGCTTTTTGATCTCTATTATTGCAAATGTGAGATTATTTTGGCTAACAAAAATGAAAACATTTTTGACAAATTTCATTTTTTCAGCAGCATTCACATATAAAGTCTTATATGAAATGAATGAAGTTTTAAATTTTTATACAAACTCATGTCTAGTAAAGAAAAATATCTGTATTTTAAATATCTAAGAGAAAAAAGCTGTTAATTCTTTTGGTTTTTGAGGAAAACATCGCTTTGTAGATCTAAAACGAGCGATTGTTAGGTTGCAGGTTTGAATCCGATCAAAGTCAGCAATTTTAAGAAAGAATTCTTAGAATAATTTAAAATACCGTATTTTCTCTAATATCAGCACCCTGAGCGTCGTCTAAATTCCTCGAAATCTCGAGAACCGCTTATCAGAACCTATCGATGTGGGGTCGGAAAATGTAGCTGACGATGAGATCTTGTGGGAGATTAGAGTGTTGAGCTTCTGCGAAAACTTTGAAAGCCGTAAATAGTCATCAACTCGGCTCGCTTGGATGCACTACTATTAAAAAAAAAAAAAAAAATTATAAAAAGACAAAAAGACAAAACTGAAATCAGCTAAAAACTCAGCAACCAAATGTTTATAAAATAAAATGATTGGCTCCTTTTATACTAAACCTCTAAAGGAGTGCGTTTTCGAATGGGCATTACTTAACGTTTTACTTGACACTTACTCAAGTAAAGGATTACTTGAAAGAATTTACTCAAGTAATTACTTACTTAAGAGGTACACATCCTATTGATGAGTACTCTATTTTCTAGTGCTTTCTCGCTCTTCATTTGACTTATTCATTCACAAATCTCTTTGGTATTTATTATGCTCAACTCGATCGTCAAACGATGCTCGATTGGATTTTCAAGGCAAACATTTAAACTTATTAAAAACCCAATTATTTCAGTTTTATCCAAACATGACTTATTTGAATAATTACACGAATTGGGTGATTATTCCGATAGAATTAGGGAAAATCGTGGAATTGTGTGTGATGTGGGTGATTGAGGTTGGGTTTTCAAAAGCTTTCTTTCAGAAAAAGTCTTTTCTTTTAGATAATGGGCTTTAACATAATCAATATTTATTGTATTTTCAAGATTCACTCTTTATTAAACGATATGAAGAGTCATATGAGTTCACGAACGATACAAGCTCAACGAGAGTTCATCACAGCACTCACCACTCAGGTTTGCTTTAACTAAATTCTATTTGTAGGCAAAATTTTAGAACAAAAAAAACCAATTTCAAACAATTTTTTAAACGTTCCTCTTACTGTAACCACTATTTTAGTGTTTTCTCACCTTTTCCGTCTATTCTTTTCCGACTTTGATGGGTATTCTAACAGTTTTCATTCCTTTCAGTTCAGCATTGCACTCCGAGGGTTTGTTTTTTTGCTCTTCTACAAAATTTTCCTCAATAAATATTAGGGTGGTGCAAAAGAAACTGCCGATTTGACGGTAAATTCAAAAAAAAATAACATCAAAGCGAGAAATCTTTATTCATCGAAATATTCATGTCACGATAGAATCAAGAAATCCGCTATTCTTTGCACGATTCAGGAGAATGCCAGCGATGGAAATGTGGGAAGCGAGGTTAGCATCACTAAGTTGATGAGGGACCCATCTTCCACAACGACTTTTCTTTCTGATAAATTTTCTGTTTCTGATAAATGAGAGCTGATACCCCATCGGCAGTTTCTTTTGCGCCACCCTAATACATCAAAATCAAGTGTTTGTAGATAAAGAAATGTTTTTCTTTCAGCTTTCATTCATTTAATGATCTCAATCTTTTGCACTCACGCAACAGTGAATGTGGTTGTGATGTGTTGCGCAACGAAGCCCTATCGAGTGGCTATCGTTGAAGGATTCCAGAAATTTATCGGGAAAAAAACCAAGGCAACTTCAACAGTCAGTCTAGCGACTTCAACTCAAAATTAGGGAATAAATGGATTGATGATTGGTTATTTTAAAAATTCCCTTCACAATGGATTTGGTGGGGAAATTGTGAGTGTATTTTCTTTAAAAATAGCTAGATGAAAGCTTGATTTTTGGATTTTCACAATGGTTGTCATGCAAAATGTCACCATGTCACTGGTTGATTGTTTCTTGCATAGATTGTGGTGTTTAGAAGAAAAGAAATGGTATCAATCGACAAAAACACGACAATACACGGTAGGGTAGAGTTCCCTCTAACTATTGGGATTGATATTTTGATTGGTTGATGAGCAATCTTTGATTTTTTTCTGGATTAAATTGCGAAAATGTCAAGTGTCAAACTAATCTTACTATTAAAGTAAACCTTCAAAGCATTATTGAAACAACGCAGTTTCTAAATCAAAAAAAGAGAAAGTTAGCCGTTTTTTAGTGAGAATCTCACTTTTTGATTGATTTGATTAAAAACATTTAATTATCTTTTAAAAATTACAAATTGATGGTTGCTTATTGATCTTATTGATGCTTATTGATCTTAATCTATTTTTACAATCGACAGTTTGAAGTATTAATTATAATTTCTGTTGTTCAAAACGTTCAAAAAAAGGCTCCAGCATTGCAGAGGGGTCGAACGAGGAACCCCCTCTTTGGGGCCAGACTGACACAGCGCCTTAGACCACTCGGCCATGCTAATAACTGGAAATCGGAAAACAGCTTATAATAAGTACGATTCACACTTACAATTTTTGGTATTGCTAAAAAAGGCGAGGGGCGTGAGTTTATTGGCTTTCATTCTCCCGGGCTGCTGGTCCCTCGTGGTTCAGTGGTAAAACGCGCGAGATGGCAAGGTTTCGACGTGCATCGGGCAACGAGTTCGATCCCTGTCACGGCAAACTTGTCTCCTTTATCTTCAAGAATTAAATTCTTTTATCGTTTAAAAATAAAGATTTTTACTCTAATCATTGTTTGATCTGTTGTTTAGCTTGTGAGCTTAAATTTATTGCCTCAACGTAAAGAAAAGCCAAATCTATTGATTGATTGTCGTCTCATTCTTTTTTCTTTTGACATTTCACAGCATCTCGACAAATTTCGTCTGCTTTTTTCCCATCAGCCGCTCCTTTCACCAGGACATCCATTTGGGGTTTCATAAACTCGTAATGTTTCTTGCAAGCCTTTTCCTCGTTCTAAACTTTTATGTAAAAGTTTTTTTATTTGATTACTGGATTTAAAAGCTTACAGTCTTTTGATTTATGGTTTTTAAAAAGAAATAAACCTCTTGCTCTAAGCAATCTTTCATCATTTGCTCTTTAATGTTCTCTTCCGTGATTTGCTTCCAATCACCGCCCATTCGCTTTACAACTTGTTCCATTTGTTTCTGAAAATTTCAATCTAATCACTTGGCTTTGTAGTTTCATTTTTGGAATTGAAAAACTAGAGTTTTTAAGTTTTAAAGAGCTGGGATTTGAATCGAAATCTTTCCATTCAGCCAAGATCTTTTCATTGACATTTTCTATTGGGTTAGGGAGAATGAGTCGGCGCCGAAAATGAAAAAAATGTCTAAAACTTCTATTCGACTTCGTCAAATAATATGCGTTTGATATGAGTAGAATGGTTAACTAATTCTCTACAAAATGACATTTAAAAGAAAATTCAAACAGCGCCTCCGCTCAAGAAAAAGCCATTTTTTCACAAAAACTACAAACTGTCATCTAGAAAAAACCATTGGTGGGATCTTCCTGCAAATTTGGCAACTTAAGTAATTGAATGTGCTCTATCTTTTTTATATAAACACCAAAGAAGGTTTATGTGAAAGAAACTGTTCAAATGATGAGTCGGACTTTTTGTCATTTTAACCAGCTGCGTTTGGAAGTTCATAAACTCCACGAAAGAAAAGCTTTGTGGAATCTCTCAAAAGTCATTTTGTAGAGAAATAGTGGATCCTTTTGATGAAACCAAACGTATGTTTAAAGAAGGCTTTATGTGTGCAAAAAGTCCCTTTAAAGTTTGGCGCCGACTCATTCTCCCCAACCCAATAATCACTTTGCTTTGTAGTTTCATTTTTGGAATCGAAAAACTGAAGTTTTTAAGTTTTAAAGAGCTGGGATTTGAATCGAAATCTTTCCATTCGGCCAAGATCTTTTCATTGACATTTTCTAATAACAAACCTCACAAATCGCACAATCTTGTGCCCAAATGTGGTTCACAATAAAGAAAAGACCAATGAACGCAAATAACTTGTTCATATTCTAAAATATATGTAAGCAAAAGAAAGAAAAGTTTGAGTATTGAATGAAAATCGACTTTTATGAGACAAATTTTAGACAACAATCTCAAATTGAGCTGTCTGACTTGAGATTTCTTTTTATACCTGTTTCGCAGAGTACTTTTTTCTATTTCTTTTCATTTTTCCTTTATCTTCTTATCCGATTAGTGTTTTGACAACTATTTTTGAGATTTTGTTTACAAAAATTCTTTCAAAGAATGCGATTAAGAGACCGGTTTTTGCCTCTCAATTTCTCTTGTCTCGTTTCCATTTTTAAATGCATTTCTTTTCAAAGTTTACACTTATATCGTTTTTGAGATGTTTGTGCAAACAATAAAGACGTCATCCTAACCAATAATTCTCAACAAATAATAAACTTTAGAAATGGTAAAGTTTAAATTTAACCTAGTTAACAAAAATTTGAGTCTGGTCTGTCTCGCAGACTTTACAAAATGGCCCACAATTATAGCGTCGCACTTCGCTAGGATCAATTGTTGTTGAATACGTTGTTGAACCTGTTGAATACGTTGTTGAACCTTGAATACGTTGTTGAACCTGTTGAATACGTTGTTGAACCTGTTGAATACGTTGTTGAACCTGTTGAATACGTTGTTGGACCTGTTGAATACGTTGTTGAACCTGTTGAATACGCTAGGATGATTTGATCAAAAAACTAAGCCAATCTGATTCTCAAAAGCACTGTTGATTTTGATCGAATGACTACCGTTTGAGGCACAGATTTCTCGTCAATCTCCATGCTGTAACCTGAAATATTTCAGGTAAATTGACTAATGGTTAAGCCTTAGTGAAAGAGGAAGGCTAGTAAGCTTGTTAATTTTTTAAATATTCATGCACATCTTCACCTCTTTTTAGTCCCGTCTTTGCGTATACTCCTCATTGCCTAGCGACGTTTCATCACTCAATACACTCAACTCAAAAAACAAAAAACAAGTAATTTAAAAATAAACTTCAGATGATCGTGTTATTAAAAAAAGATTTAGATAAAGGATTAATCCGTATTTTCTTCTGAATGAAGTTTTTTGAAAAAGGAAAAAGTTTGAAAACACATGTGAAGGATTTGTGACTAATTTTGACTTTCGTAAATTTCTTAATTTAGCCACAAGATTTTTCTGCTAAAATAATCTGTCAGTAGAAATTTTTGCCGTCTTTTTCCCGGGAATCATCTCACGTTAATCATTTGAGTTTTTGGTTTATCAAATGGCTATAAAATTAGTGGATCTGAGAGAAATTTGAAGTGTTGAAAAGGAAGTGGCTTTCAGGTGTCTTTTTTTGAATCTTTACCATCTTTGTGGTGTATTTTTTGCTCAAAAATGTAAACAAATTATTACTTTAACAGCATCATTCGATTTCAGTTAATGTGAATGCATTCCAAAGAAAAGAAATCGTTTACTGTTTACTGTAAAAATCCTGTAGTTGATTTGTTTGCGTTCTGTAGTCAGTCAGTTTGTTAACCATGGTTCTGAGTATTTGAAGCAGATTTTTAAAGCTTTAAAAACCGTATATTTGCAGTTTTATTGACTCTTTATAAAATAAATTTGAAATGCTGATAGAGTAAGCCCAAAGAAATCCATTCCTTACAAGGAGTAAGGGATAAGATCTTCCCCTGGCGGCAATCGGATATTTGTCGATCTAGCTCTGGTAGAATGTTTGCCCGGTAAGCGAAAGATCACGGGTTCGAATCCCGGCACTGACCATGCCCCAACCGGCGTGTTCAACTTTGATAGACCTACTTTCCTTTTTGTAAGACTTACTCATTCGGTTGCCCACAAACACTTGAAATCAACCTGTTCTTGTGATTGACTGAAGCACAGGTGAGACATTTCTCAATGACATTTGAGGCGAATTTTTGCTGGGACAAGCGAAGAACATCTTGGCAAATCTGAAAAGATTTCATATTCTATTTTCTAGTGTACTTTGTGTTTAAAAATAGAAACGCACTCTATCCGGCATACTCAATTCTTGTAAACCTGACAATGAGTATGCCAGAAAGACTGCGTTTCAATTGGCAATCGGATATGTGTCGGTCTAGCCCTGGTAGATTGTTCGCCCGGTAAGCGAGAGGTCGGCTCAAATCCTGGCGCCGATCATTTTTTGTATTCCCAGTCCCAACCCAGAAAAGGATTCGTGTGTCCAACCTGAGCTTGGAGCTCAGAACCGCTAGAGGCCTGATGATAGGATAGAATTGTTGAAGTTATAAGCACTGTTTAAGCACTCATGCAAATTTCTAATGTATCTGCTTGCCCTATCTCGCTCGCTCTCTCCAGTTTTCCAAGTTTTCTCATTCAATCAAAGTAATGCAGTACATAACCAAACTCATCGATTGTGCCAAATGTAAAGAGAGTCGGGAGTTCTATCATTTTTGTGGAATGAAGGGAAAAGAGTGTGCCTAGAGATCGTTTGATTGTTTGAACAGACCGCCAGCCTTGCCCTCTCTCTCCATCTCTTCCCAGAAATGCACACTGATTGTTGGCAAATTAGAGCTGGTAAAATGAGAGAAATTTCCGTTGCTGATTTCATGAGTTTATACTAAATACAGTAAAATTACATGAGTAAAAGTGCTTTCTGTTAGCTTATTTTGAACCATAATTTGAACTATAAAGTTGTTGCTTTTTGAAACTCTGTAACTTTATTACCAATTTTTTTCATTTCTTTCATTTTCCATTGTTGTCCATCAATCCAAAACATTCTCAATTGCTAAAAATCAGCTTATTCTGGATTTTGTTCTCTTTTTTTATGTATATGTTGTGTCCGATTTAGATTTCCGTCCGATTTAGATTGAAGTCTATATCGGACGTCCGATTTAGATTCAATCTAAATCTTATATAGATTGAACAATAATTCGTCTTATATAGATTGAACAATAATATAAACATGCTTAATATATGTTCTTAAGCGTTTGCTGTAGTTTTCTGCATTTTTCAAAGGTCTTTTATTGATTACAGTCTATATCGGACGTCCGATACAGATCGAACAATAATAAACGTGCTCAATATATGTTCTTCAGCGTTTTTTTGCAATTTTCTGCGCTTTTCAAAGGTCTGTTACTGTGCTGGCATCTCTCCGCTGCCATTTTTCTCGCCCACATGATAAAGCTGCGCTCCCTTTTGTTCAATCACGAGCGCAAATCTTTTCAGCAAGTTGTTTTCGTGGTAGTTTTGTGGTAAGAACATATATTTCGTGGTAAGAACATATATTAAGCACGTTTATTATTGTTCGATGTTCGATCTGTATCGGACGTCCGATATAGACTGTAATCAATAAAAGACCTTTGAAAAATGCAGAAAACTACAGAAAACGCTTAAGAACATATATTAAGCATGTTTATATTATTGTTCGATCTATATAAGATTTAATTGAAAAATCGGACCTCCGATATAGACTGTAATCTAAATCGGACGTCCGTGATAAGTTCAATCTAAATCGGTCCGATATAGATTGTAATCTAAATCGGAAGGAAATCTAAATCGAACACAACATATACATAGATAAAAATCGTGTTATTATAAGTATATTATAAATGACAAAATGCAATTTCAAAGCTCTATCGAATTTTTCAATCTCCCAACCGTCTGTTCATCACTTTCAAAACGACTATTGTCTCTTTTGCAAAAAAAAAATTTCTCATCTCAAAAAGGTGAAAAGAGTTAGCGAAATTTTACAGAAATATTTGGCTTTTTCTCACTCTGTCTCTTTTCAATTGAAAACAAATGAAAAAAAAAGAGAAATCGAGTGGTAAACAAGTGTTCTCCAGAGAGAAAGAGCATTATTTTGTCGATTTCTCTCGATCAGTAGGCAAAACATTCTCGAGAAATCGATTCTTTTGAATTAAAAGTTAACGGTTTAATCTTTTGTTGATCAATTTTTTAGATTACAATTTTTTTTTTTTTTGGTTTATTACGGTGAGATTTTGAGCTGTGAAGCTTTGTGACATTTAAAAGTTAAAATGAAGTTACAAAAAATGATTATATTGTATTTGGGCAGGCTTTTCATATAAAATAGACTAAAGAATGAAAGTTTTATTTAATTTGGACTTTCTAATAGCTTTCCATTGAGTTAATTTCCAGTTTCCAATTCAAATTTTTTAATTTTTTAATCTGTAAACCGTGTTGATTAAAAAATTTCCTAAAGAAAATCTTCAAATGTTTCTTTTAAATGATTTAAGTGAGATTACGGGGGTGGGACAAATGCGACCTTTTTTTTGCGCACCTTTTTTTTGCTGGCAAAAGGCCTTAGGCAAGGCCGTAGAGCTTCGAAAATATTCCCATACAAGGGAATCGTATGCGTAGATTCCGAATTTCGACAAATTAGACCTCGCTGACACGTCAAATTTGGGCTAAAAGGCAAAAACTGCGGAAAAGCGTTAAGTTGCGTAGTTTTTGCCTTTTAGCCCAAATTTGACGTGTCAGTGAGGTCTGATTTGTCAAAATTCTGAATCTACGCATACGATTCCCATATGGAAAACATTTTTGAGGCTCTACGACCTTTCCTAAGGCCTTTTCCAGCAAAAAAAAAGGTGCGCAAAAAAAAGGTCGCATTTGTCCCATCCCCGAGATTACTCAAGATTATTAGCATTTTTGAACATCGAAATCCTTTGTTTTCTCAGTATTCTTCTGTTGATGTTGACTTTTCTGAAAAATCTTTTTTATATGTTTATAATTTCTTTAATTTAAGTGGACTCGACCGTTATTGTCTTTCTTGTTGTTTCTTTCTCGTTGTTGTCTTTCTTTGTCCTTTCAAAAATCGGGTAAACAATCCGTTCTAGAAAAAGGCTTTAGTTTTATGAAATGACTAATATTCTCAGTTAGAAAATAAAACGGTCTTGGTTTAAAGATACCTTTAAAATTTGATTTTAGAGAAGAAAAAGAATGATTACTGTTTACATGTAAAGTATTTGTTCAATGGTTAGGGTTTGGTTTAGTTTAGTTAAGAGTTTGGTTTATTTAAGAGTTTAGTTTAGTTAAGAGCTTAGTTTTGTTAAGAGTTTAGTTTAGTAAGTTTAGTAAGTTCAATGATTAGATAGTAAGTTAACTAGTGGATTAAAGCTTTAATAAAATTGTTGTTTTTTTAAGTTCATTTTGAGATCATGTGTTTTATGAGAGAGTCCGAGTTGTCTTTGTTGATCTATGGCTTCTGAAATAGGCAATAAGCCAAAAGAAAAAGAAAATAAATCCAAATCGACTAAATTAGAAGAAAATAGAGAAGAAATGACGAGAATAAGGTTAAAATGAGGAAATTTTTGTTTAGAATTGATAGATCAACCCTAACGGCTTATTCTTTCATCTTGTGGTTAGTGCTTAAGTCTATTATTTTCAATTTTTAATTAAAAAACTATTAATTAAATCTTTTCCTTATGTCCTTTTCTAGTTTCACTTTTAGTTTCTCTTTCTCAATTCTGTCTACAAATTTCTTTTGCGTTTACTCGATGGCAAGTGTCCAAAAGTGATCGTTTAAACAGAGTTCGAGGAGCCACAAACACAAAAAAAATGACAAGACAGAGAGAGACAGTGAGAGCAGAGAGAGAGACAAAAACGTGTAAGAGAATGATAGGGGAAATGGGGATGTTTGGCTGTGAGCAGCTCTGTTTGACCCGGGGAAAGAGAAAAGAAGTGAACCGCCTGTCGATGAGTTGCCATAAAGTGTGTCCCGAGCTCTGGGTCTCTTTTCGTCTCTCGATCTTTTCATTGCCCTTTTTCCCATTCGCTGTCTAGCCGTCTCCCCCATCCATTTCAAAAGGGTTACCCCCAATCTTTTTGCTCTTTTTCTCCGCCAAACTGTTCTAGAAACTCTTTACTACATATTTATCATCTTTATTTCGGAATAATATTGATTTTTGATCGGTTTTTTTGTTAGAATCAAATCATGACTTTTTAGTAAGCTTTTGTTTTAAAGATTATCCAAATAAAGTAGCTAAAAAAGTAAATCAAATAATCAAATAATCAACTAAACCTTTGATTTAAATAGTAATTAGCATTTAAACACAAATCCTATTTTAAATTTAAGTTTAAAGTCTACATTTAAGTCTAGTCGTCCGTGAAGGTTCAATTTACATAACCAATTCCAAAATCATTTTTGAAGCTCATATTCTTCTCAATTATCTTTCATAAACTCAACTTTACCTGTTTTCTAATAATTCTTCAATTCATTTTTCATTTTCTCTTACTAAAAATAGCTTTCCAATATACAATTTGGTTGACAATTTGGTTGAATCACTTATCGATTCGCCATGATTTGACGACTCGTCAACTCTTGGCACAAAAACGATACGAAAAAAGGAAAAAAAAGCTTTCAAATTGTGTACTCGAAAGGGATTCAACCAAATAAATCAAAGCTTAACATAGAAATTTTCGACAAAACTTTGTTAATAATCAAATTTTCAGGCAATCTGTACATTTTGTATCATAGTTCCCTTGAAGAAGATTTGCTGCCCTGTATTATAAAAATCCTCGTGTTTTCGTGTTATTCTGTACAGGATTTACAAGAAAAACATCTATAATTCTATTTTCTATTTGATTGACTGAATATTCAATATTTCTATTGCGTTAATATTTACTATAAAACTCGAATGATCATGGCGGACAAACAGTGGACATGGAACGCGAGAGATAGTTTGTTTTTTTTTGCTTTGTTTTGCTTTTTTTAAGCTAAAATGTTTCTAAAATAGAATAGATTAATGTTAATTAATGTATTTGTTTAGTTTTTAAATCAAATTTCTTCTTTTTTTTATTTCACTTTTGAAAGAAAATTGCATCACGGGTTTTTGAAAAGGTTATATGCTAGAAAAGGGTGAAAAGGGAAAAGAATGAGTCTTTCGAAAGATCTATTAAAAGAATTCAATAGATTTTTAGATTCACATCTAAACTACAAGTCTAAAATAAAGATTTGTACTTGAAAATTGTACCCAATTGACATAGTTACCTACTTTCAAGTACAAGTACAAGTACCTAATTAGCTCAAAACTTACCTAAGTAGCTTTAGATCTTACTAGCTATATAATAAAGATATTTAAAACAATAAAGATAAGTTTATAAGATAATTTCTATATTTTTTTTCTTTTTAGACCCATCGGGAGCTGTTTCTGGCCATCGGGAGCTGTTAATTAGCTCAAAATCTACCTAAGTAGCTTAAGATCTTACTAGCTATATAGTAAAGTTATTAATAAAGATATTTAAAACAATAAAGATAAGTTTATAAGATAATTTCTATATTTTTTCTTTTTAGACCCGTCGGGAGCTGTTTCTGGAGCGGTTCCGATTCCGAGTCAAGGTTTGCATCGAGAGGAGATGCTTCCTTTATCAACCCCTCATGGAGAAAGTCTTGGTGGACGAATTAGTCAACAAGTGATTGAAAATGTTCTCTCTGGATCACCTGGATCATTTGTAAGTTCTTTTGAGATATTCTCTAGAGAAATTATCTTTAAAAACCCACCTAGACTTGATAGACTCGGGTGATTACTTTATAGACTAGAAACTCGGGTGATTACTGGTATCTTTCTAAGATCATAAGCCAATATTTCTTTGTTTTATATTAGGATCAAACGTTGACTGATTATTGTTATTGTTCATTATTGTTTATGATCAATATCAACAATGAAATGTTAGTACCGATAATTAGGAGGGAGAATTTGATTAGATTCCTCTACTTCATTCGGTTTTATTCCTCGAAAATTAAAACAAAGCATAAGATCAATAAGCCAACTATTGATAAATCTTTATTCTATAAAAAAATGTTTGTCCGTCATGCTTTGTCTGGAGTTTAGCACTCCGTGAAACGATTTTAAAAGTGAATCCTGAGCAAAAGAAGTCGACTTCTCTGCTTGTACTTTAAATATATTAAATTAAACTTTTAACTAAACAAATTTTGTTAAATTAGACTTTAAATACAAATTTGGCGAGAGTAAAACTGAAAGAGAAAGGCCGTATAGTTCTATATAGTTATAGCCGTATAGTTCGTATAGTTATAGCCGTATAGTTCCTGAAAAAGGCTCGAAAATTAACTAAACTTTAACATCCATTAAAATCAGTAGAACACTGCACTATTTTCTTCCAACCAATTTATTTATCTTTGGTTTAACTTTTGTCTATTCATTTGAGTCAAAATATCTTTGTCTTTTTCTTCTTTTCTTCGATAAATTCAGCATTGAATCGTTTGGTGTCAGTGAATGACCGGCGGTTTTTCCATCCTGGGAAAAGGAGAAAAACGACACGAAACAACAAATCAATTCATATTTTCTTGCCCAAAAATTCCCCTTGTTCAAGATTTTTCTCAATTTTTCAACTTTTTTCAATTATTTCAAAATGATTTGTTTCATTTTTTCCAGTTTTTTTTAGTTAAAAAGGTCTAGTCTCAATTTTTTGTTCGTTAGATGAGATTCAATAATTTTTAGAGTATTTTAGAGTCTAAATTTGGGCTGAACTTAGCTTGATATTGATTTTAAAATCTAAACCTATCAGCTAGATTATTACAAAAGTTGTAAATCTCCTCTACAAAATAGGCTAAAACGTGTTTCAATTGATCGAAGCATTGAAGAAATTTCGGGGGCGAAATGCGAGTGACCAAAAAAAGGAATCGAGTCACTTTAGGGACACGTTTAGTGTGGTCAAAATAGAGTTAGCTTCCCAAATTTGAAAGTTTATAGTGGAAAATGACCCAAACGGTCATTTTCTTTCTTAAATACAATGCAAAAATTTCGAATTTAGGCAACTCCACGGAAAGAAGAGCTCGGTCCGGTGATGCCATTTACAGGGTGAGTTTGAAAAGTTTTCTCATTTCATTTCTAGTCAAAAATTTCTTTTCACTTAAATTTTGATTTTAAAAATGCTTTTAGCATAAATTCCATTGTCTAATGGACCCGGAAAGAGAGTTATCACTTGTCTTACACTTGTGTTCTGAAAGAATGACTCAAAAAATAATCAGCGAAAATTCTAGATATTATAATTATTCTTATTTTGTACCTTGAAACAATTTCTCCGTTTGTGTTGTCTCTGCTGGCTTGAATGGCTGCTCCAGGACATCGGACGGGCTCAGCATTTGATCCAGTTTTCTAAAGAACACAAAACATTTATAGTAGACTTGTAATTGCAACTATTAGATTAGAAACTTGAAAGTTGGATACACTTATTCACTGGACTTTTTAGAAATAACTATTGCATCAATTAATCTACAGTTTTCATCAATAAAAGGGTCTATTTATTCTCTAAAATAAGCTTTTAACAGATTTAGAAAAGCTTCGATTTTGTAGTTTTCTAGGGGGCAAGAAGTTGAGGAACCAAAAATGATGAACACTTGATAAAACGATTTGAGCACTTTCTTTCATTTTAAAAATGCTTTTAGCATAAATTCCATTGTCTAATGGTCCGGGAAAGAGAGTTATCACTTGTTTTACACTTGTGTTTCGAAAGAATGACTCAAAAAATAATCAGCGAAAATTTTAGGTACATCCCACAGTCAATCGGTTACCAATTGCCATCACCGGCCGGGGATACACAAGAAATGCAGGTAAATATTGTATAAATTGTTATAAATTGTTGTTTATATAATATTATTGATAAGAATTAAAAGTTTACTTATAAAGAAGAGAACTATTAGATTGGAAACTTGAGAGTTGGATACACTTATTCATTGAACTTTTTAGATATAACTATTGCATCAATTAATCTACAGTTTTCATTAATAAAAAGGTCTATTTATTCTATAAAATAGGCTTTTAACAGATTTAGAAAAGCTTCGATTTTGTGGGTTTCTAGGGGGCAAGAAGTTGAGGAACCAAGAATAATGAGCACTTGATAAAGCGATTTTAGCACTTTCTTTCATTTTAAAAATGCTTTTAGCATAAATTCCATTGTCTAATGGTCCCGGAAAGAGAGTTATCACTTGTCTTACACTTGTGTTTCGAAAGAATGACTCAAAAAAAGTAATCAGCGAAAATTGTTGAGTTGAGGAACCAAGAATAATCAACACTTGATAAAGCGATTTTAGCACTTTCTTTCACATAAACCTATTTTGATGTTACTAGAAAAAAGATAGAGCATGAAAAGTTAGGAATATAGCCGAATTTCTCAGCTCGATTTGTCTAATTCCTTTACTTATAAGTCTGTTTAAAGAATTTTCAGAAAAAAACTTGAATTTCTGCTTAAATTCGTTTCAAAAATTGTCCAAATTTGCTTAAGCTTGTTTTAAATTAAATAATATGGGGGTGGGACATTTGCGCACCTTTTTTTTTGCTGGAAAAGGCCTTAGGAAAGGTCATAGAGCTTCAAAAATATTTCATACAAGGGAATCGTATGCGTAGATTCCGAATTTCGACAAATCAGACCTCGCTGACACGTCAAATTTGGGCTTAAAGGCAAAAACTGCGGAAAAGCGTTAAGTTGCGTAGTTTTTGCCTTTTAGTCCAAATTTGACGTGTCAGCGAAATCTGATTTGTCGAAATTCGGAATCTACGCATACGATTCCCTTCTATGAAAACATTTTTGAAGCTCTACGGCCTTGCCTAAGGCCTTTTCCAGCAAAAAAAAAGGTGCGCAAATGTCCAGGTGCGCAAAAAAAGGTCGCATTTGTCCCACCCCCAAATAATATAACTTTTATTAAGAGAAGTCTAATTCAATTGACGTATTAAATATGTTTTTTTGGGAAATACGAAAAAGTATACCAACTTTCAAGTTTCCAATTTAATATTTTGAATAATTAAGCATCTTTTCACCATTTTCACCATCTTAACTAAATTTTATTTTTCTTTGCGTAAACAGCTTTTACAGTGATTTCTTATCAAGTACAAATACTTATAACTTTTAGAATTTCCCTGGTGGTGTCCCAATTCCTATTCCACAGGGGACAAATGGAGGAATCGCAATTGGAAGCACTCCAACTGGGTATGGCTGTGGATCTTGGGGTGCCGTCTATCCGTCGATTCCTACCGCCAGTCCGGCAACCATCTCACAACATCAATCGATCAATGATCCAAATATGGCTGGTTGGTGACTTGTTTATTGAGAACTTAAAGCTGTACTGTTAGCTGTACTATTAGCTATACTATTAGCTATACTGTTATCTGTACTGTTAGTTGTACTGTTATCTGTACTGTTAGCTGTACTGTTAGCTGTACTGTTATCTGTACTGTTAGCTGTAAGTTTACCAGTTTCAATTCAAGCCAAGGTCTAGTTATCATTGTAAACTGTCAGATGAACATTTTAGGTAACCATTCTAATAGGAGAGCCGGCTTTTCTATTTTTCAATGTCCCTCCCTCTAAAATTCTTTTTCTTGCCCTAGCTACAGTATTCAAATTTTCAAGAGCTTAAAAATAGATGTTTTTGTTGGATTTTCATCCAGTTTTCGATACCATTAAGCTTTTTTAGTTTAATTATTATTTATAACCTTTGAAAGTCTTTAAAGAGTATCCGAGAGTTGGTTTTTGGTATCCAGGATAAATCGGAAAGAATGAAAAATTTCGTCTAAGGCAGCTCTTCTAATATAGAAAGCTCTTCAATTGGAATAAATACAAAATCTAAATATAAATAAATCTTCCGATCTCAGAGTTCTTTATATTATTAAAAGAAGAAGATAGACATTAAGATAGAAATATAGAAGATATAGAAAATATAGAAAAATTTAAAATGTTTGCTTCTAATTTCAGTGGTTGACGGAAATGCTCCCTTCTTTGGCACAACTCCACCGTATGGAGGAGCAATGTTCGCAAATCAAATCAATAACTTGACGGGCGCCTTGTCAAGTATGAGCCTCGTACAACAGAATCCTATGATGACAAGTGAGAAAAGCAATTCTAGCTTTCAGATAATTTCGTTTCAGATAATATGTTATTCAACAATCCACAGCAAATGTTCATGATGCAAGGAATGCAAGGAATGCAAGGGATTCAATCACAATATCAACCGATTGGCAATGCTAATGGGTACATTGGTGAGTGATTTTAAATTTAAAGAAACTTTACAACAATTCTCTTTTAGGCAACAACTACAATCAGATTAGCGCCTTTAATCAGATTGCTCAACCGGCTCGGAATGGACCAGGCGGATTGCCGCATTTTCAAGGACAAGTGCAAAGAAAGTAAGACTTTAAGTTTGAAGAATTTAGTTCGATTCTTTTTAGTTATCAAGGTATGTCAAAAATGGGTAGTGATGGAGTGCTTCGATCATCGATTCTCGATGATTTTCGAAACAATCGCTCACCACACTTGTCACTCACTGATATTGGCAATCATGTTGTTGAATTTGCTCAAGATCAGCATGGATCTAGGTAAATAAACTTGTAAAAGTGGCAATTTAACTATTAAATATTCACAAAGATCTTTTAGATTCATTCAACAAAAACTTGAACGAGCCACGCAAAGAGAGAAGCAAATGATTTTCGATGAGATTGTTAAAGCAGCACAAGGATTGATGACTGATGTTTTCGGGAATTACGTTGTACAGGTATAAGATTCTAGATATCTAGATATATTCTAGATATTAGGTTGATGCATAAGTCTTTTCGTTTTTTTCGTACTTCTGTTAAAAAGTAACAAATTCACCAATTAATCTATAGTTTGCTCTATAAAAAAAGTGTTTTTTTGTTCAATTTGCATCTTTTTAAATGAATTTCGGTTCACTTTCAAGCAAATTCGAGAGTGAAAAACGCCTTTTTCGTAAAAATCTATAAAAAACTCTACGGAAAAATTGGCTGAATGAATTTCTCTGAAATTTTGGCGAAATATCAAACTTTTTTTTGCTCTAATCTTTTATCTATTGACACGAAGATAGGTTTTCTTTAGCTAAGGTGTCTAAACCGCATCATCGAGTTAGCCCTTTTTGACTACCCGACTTCATACTCTCAAGAAAATCCAGGCATTAAATATTTTTAAACCCGTTTTAATGTTATTTTGCAGAAAAATAATTGGTTTTTCTAATGAAATCAACCGTAGTTTAATTGGTGCATTTGTTGGCTTGAAACGGCAGACGAAAAGGAACAAAAAGACTTATGCATCAACCTAATATATTCAGATATATTCTAGATATTCTAGATATTCTAGATATTCTAGATATCTTTTGCACAAAATTAAACAGTTTCAAAATAAATTCAAAATCAAAAATTGTTTCCAGAAGTTCTTTGAGCACGGCACAGTTGATCAAAAAAAGAAACTCTGTGAAGCGATTAAGGGACAAGTTCTTCAGTTGGCATTGCAGGTTTGTAAAATCCATTTGGAAGCTTTGGAAGCTCTGGAAGCTAAAATTCGATCAAAATCAATAATAAATTCAGATGTACGGTTGTCGAGTGATTCAGAAAGCGTTAGAATCAATCGAAGAGCCGCAACAGTTAGAGATTTTGAAAGAAATGGAGGGACAGGTGAGGGAAATCAAGTTAAAATCAAGTTAAAATCAAGTTAAAATCATTCTATTTTCAATCCTAAGTTTGAAGAAAAACAAAAATTTTACAGGTGCTGAAATGTGTGAAAGATCAGAACGGGAATCACGTTGTGCAAAAGATGATCGAACGGGTTCAACCGGAGAAGTTGCAGTTCATCATTGATGCTTTTTTGAAGGCACCGGATACGGTAAATTGGTTAAAATACAGTAAATCTGCTAGATATAAAAGTCTGTCTGTGTACGGAATTTTCTCAGCCGCTTCTGGCCCGACTTCTTTAGAAAACCTTAGAATATATTGTAGTTGTGCCATTTAGAAGAACAAAAATCAAGAAGTCAAAGTTGAATGGCACTACAGGGGTCGAACCCGGCTGTAAGAACCCGGCTGCATGGGCTGTAGAAAAGCGCGCTCCCGACTGCGCCACGACGACCATGCATCAGTCCCAAAAAATTCAGCTTTTATCGCTCCCGAGTGTTCGCGCTCCCGAAAAAAACCCTCCTAACAGCTGGTTTTTCTAGCTGTAAATTTTGGGGCCAACGCTTTGTCGCTGTGGCGCGATCGGGAGCGCGCTTGTCTACAACCCACACAATTCGGGTTCGACCTCCCGTAATGCCCCTCAATTTCGGCTGGTATTAAATCCGGAACTTACTATATTTCTATTATTGTAGGTTACTATTTACGACATTATCCAATGCTATTTAGGTCTCCCAACTCTCGACTCATCCCTATGGTTGTCGGGTGATCCAGCGAGTGCTCGAGTACTGCAATGAGGAGCAAAAGGGACCAATTTTGGCAAAACTTCACGATAATATCAAGACGCTTGTTATTGATCAATATGGAAATTATGTGGTGCAACATGTGATCGAACATGGAACAGAAGATGATCGAGAGAAGATCATTACGCAGGTTGGTTGGAAGAAAGCTGATTACAACCAATCACTCTTGACCATCAAGCTGTTCTTGGGTGTACTTTGTACTTAGATTATAGTAGAAACGCAGTCTTTCTGGCATGCTCATCGTCAGGTTTACAAGAATTGAGTATGCCGGATAGAGTGCGTTTCTACTTTTAAACACAAAGTACACTAGGAAATAGAATATGAAATCTTTTCAGATTTGCCAAGATGTTCTTCGCTTCTCCCAGCACAAATTCGCCTCAAATGTCATTGAGAAATGTCTCACCTGTGCTTCAGTCAATCACAAGAACATGTTGATTTCAAGTGTTTGTGGGCAACCGAATGAGTAAGTCTTACAAAAAGGAAAGTAGGTCTATCAAGTTGAACACGCCGGTCAGCGCTCTCGCTTACCGAGCGAACACGCTACCAATGAGCTACACCGACACGTATCCAATAGCCAGGGATGGGCTTTATGGCTTACTATCAAAATCTTTAGCCCAAACCCGCCATTGATGCAAATGATGAGAGATCAATATGCGAATTACGTTGTGCAGAAGATGTTGGATGTGGCTGATTCAACTCATCGAAAGAAGATGCTTTTCACGATTAAACCTCACATTCAACAGTTGAAGAAGTTCAATTATGGAAAGCATATTATCAGTGAGTTTTTTGGTAAAGAAATAAAAAAAGTCGATCTTTTTGGTAATAGATAATAGAATAAAGCAAATTTAAACTTTCTAAATGATTTTGTGATTTAAAAGATTTAATCCAAGGTCAAGAAAAAGCTTCTTATTAATTTAGAAACCTTCAAAATTTTGTATTTTGGTCCAATTTTGTTAAATCTTACAACAAAATTGTTAAAAAATCTTGAGTAATGTATGTAAAAGCGTCTAGTTACAGTAACTAGGGTTACTGTAGTCCGATTACAGTAGTTAGAAGTAATAGATCGTATTCTCTAGCTTTTTATGTCAATGAAATGTCAATAACAATAAAATAGTCCATTTTGGTTACTTCTGATGTTATCCCGTTTCAGCGAAGCTCGAGAAATACTTCAACAAGTCCGGAATTCCCACTCAAATCCCCTCAAATCAATCACAAAGCAGTTTCATGCAAGGAATGGACATTTATCCAGCTTTCTAAGAAATTTTCATTTGTAAACTAAAGTATTTATATACTATAATACCTCTAATAGTAGCCCCCCGTACAATCGCGTAGTCTAACTTCTTTTTAGAAAATCAGCTCCTAGAAAATCATTTTTTCTCAGCTCCTAGATTTTTCTCAACTACACTTTTGGTACCAAAAAATACTAGATTTCAAGGGCTATCATTTGACATTCAAGCGCACACTGTAGCATAAAGCAGCGCGGAGTACGGAGCGTTTAAAGTTAGACTACGCAACAACACCCCGTCATTATGGGGGGCGCTACTATTAGAGGTATGACGGTAGTATTCTTCTTTACTTCTCAATAGCTTTCTGGCTTGCAAACACAGCTTATCTGGCGCACTGTATTCAAAGAAAAACAATAGATTCTTGTGCCAGATAGCATTTCTGTTTATTGTTTTATCTTTTTTTTGCTCATTATCAGTTACTTTTATTAAATTTCAGCCAATTTCGCCATAAATTTTCGATCGAAATTTCATTGCTCGTTTTCAAGAATCATATCATTTTTTTTTAAATTTTCAAACAATTTTGCCAACTTCAAAATCTTTCACAAATGAACAAAAGAATTTTTTCATTTTTTTTCAGCTTGGTTGTGTTTTTCGAGAGATTTCGCTAAAATTTTCTTTTGATTTTAAAAATTTTCTGATATTCCTCGTCAAAATTGTTGGTTTTTTTATGTGTAAATTTTTGTATTATAATCCCCAAAAAAATTTGTTGGTGTTAAGGCCCATGTAAATGTCCCGAGAAAAGATGAATAATAGTTAGAATGTTTTCTTTTTGTTTGAAGTTTTTCGAAAAGGTGGAAAAGGTTATCGTAATCTTTTAAAAGCTAAACTTCGGCAGGTTACTCAGTGCAGTTTAGCTTTTAAAGTCTAGAAGTTACTCAGTCGGATTATTGTAGTCTTTTTTAAAAGATGAAAGCAGAAAATCTATTGTATTCTTTTAAAAAAAACAATTACGACTCTTCCTTGAGCACCTTTTTAAAAATACAATCAAGGGTAGGCTAATTGTCGGATTTTTTTTTCGCAACTCGCCATAGCTTTCTTCTAAGTGGATCAATCTTTATGATTTTGGTGTCATTTTGTAGATCTCAGTAAGTGCAACAAAATGAAACCAAAAACATAAAGATTGACCGACTTAGAAGAAAGTTATGGCGAGTTGCGCAAAAAAAAATTGTGGAAATTAGCCTACCCCTAGAATCAGGAAACACGGTCTAATAAGTTGTAATCGTTTTTTGTCTTTGATTAGATTTACAGTCGAACTTCTCTATAACGATTTTGAAATTCTAAAAGATGCCCCCTAATTTCTGTGTAGCTTCCCAATTAGTTGTAATGGTTGCCCACACAGGGCAGCTACGCAGAAAATGTGAGGCACTCTTTAGAAAAGTTATATAGAAATTTCGGTTCTTTCAATATCGTTATAACGAAATTCAACTGTACTTTGATTTGTTGTAAAAGAAATTTCTGAAAAAGTCTTTGGGTTATAAATTGTTTTTCTTTAAAATTTGACCAAAAGAAACACAAATGAATTGTTATCAAGAAAAAGAATTATTAGGTTGGCATAAGCTTTTCCCCTCCCCCCCCTCCACCCAATTAAACTACGGTTGATTTCATTAGAAAAACCAATTATTTTCGCAAAATAACATTAACGGGTTTAAAATTTGGCCTGGATTTTCTTGAGGTATGAAGTCGGGTAGTCAAAAGGGCGATGATGCGGTTTAGACACCTTAGCTAAAGAAAACCTATCTTCGTGTCAATAGATAAAGGGAGAGAAAAGTTTGTATTTCGTCAAAATTTCAGAGAAATTCATTCAGCCAATTTTCCGTAGAGTTTTTTGTTTTTTTACGAAAAGGGTTTTCCCTCGAATTTGCTTGAAAGTGAACCGAAATTATTTTAAAAGGAATTGGAAAAACCTTTTTTATAGAGCAAACTATAGATTAATTGGTGTTTGTTCTTTTTAACAGAAGTACGAAAAACGAAAAGACTTATGCATCAACCTATTAATTAAAAAATTAGAAATGCTTTGCTTAGAAATGCTTGCTTAAAAATAAACAAATTTGCTTTGCAATTTCATTCAAAGATTATGGAACACTTAAAAAGGTTTAAAATCAAAATTTTGCAAAAGAGAATAAAGGACATCGAAAATTGGGTTTAAACTATTTTGCCTCTAAAAATCTTCAATTTTACGAGGACGGCATTCGTGATTTGGGGCGACGTTGGAAAGAAGTTATTAATGCTTGTGGTAAATACATTTGATTTTGAAAGTGTTTAAATAAATTTTTCTGTTATGTTAGATAAATCTGAAAGGTTATTTTTTTGATCATTTTTAAAATAACAGAAAAATTTATTTAAATGCTTTCAAAATCAAATGTATTCACCACAAGCATTAATAACTTCTTTCCAACGTCGCCCCAAATCACGAATGCCGTCCTCGTAAAATTGAAGATTTTTAGAGGCAAAATAGTTGGCAACCCAATTTTCGATGTCCTGCTTTTGCTTGAACGGCTTTCCAGAAACCGCTTGTTTCATAGACCGAAAGAGGGGCTAGGTCAGGGCTGTATGGTGGGTGAGGAAGAAGTTTCCATCCCAACTTATCGATCTTTTCGTGGGCGACCTTTGAAATGTGCGGCCTAGCATTGTCGTGAAGAAATCTGACCTTTGATGGATCGATCCGCTTTTTCCTCAGTGCTCGATCGACTCGACCCAGTTGTTCTGCATAAAGTCTTCCATCAACAGTCTCGCCTTTATCTAATACTTCAAAATAAACCAATCCCTTAGTATTCCCCACCACACACCGATCATAACTTTCTTCCCGTGTATCGGAGGCTTCGGGATTGGATGAGAGGTCTGCTTCGGACTTAGCCACTGTCCATGGAGTTGAATGTTTTCATACGGAAGCCAAGTCTTATCAGATGTCAAAAAAATACTTTCAAAAATCACGATGGTGAGCTTTACGTAGAAGAAAAGAGCTCAGGGTGACTCGTAGGGCTTTGTGGGCATCAGTGAAGTCGTGGGGGAGCCATTTCCCGCTTCGATATGATTTCCCAAGAACGTGTAAATGGTTTTCAATGGTCATGAGTGTGCATTCAAACTTTTCTGCTAATTTTCTACACTTTTGGATCCTCTCATCCAATCCCGAAGCCTCCGATACACGGGAAGAAAGTTATGATCTGTGTGTGGTGGAATACTAAGGGATTGGTTTATTTTGAATGCACACTCATGGTACCATTGAAACCAAAGAATGGATCCAAGTCGACCTCGTTCAGTAACAGCTGATTGTCCAAAGTAATTGGTGGCTTTCCATGTGGTGCATCTTCCAATGGCTCGTTTCCCGTTTTGAAGCGATCGTACCAAACACAACATTGTTTGTAAGTAAGAGCAGCTTCTCCAAAAACAGTACAAATATTCGGATGGCATTCTGTAGCTTTCTTGTTTAACTTGAATTCAAAGAATATGGCAGCCCTGATTTTAAATTTTTGTTCATCCATCTTTGTCGAGTTGAAACAATACAAATATTATTCAAAACAAAAAAGTCTTTGCAAAAAAAAAACATACTCTAATGTTTACTGTCAAAAATTTACTTTAATGTAATCCCATTTAATTGTTTCCTCTCATTTCCGATTGAGAGTTTCTCGTTGATAAAAATGGGATGAGCTGGAGGAAAATTGCTGGTTTAGTTCCGGAGGAGTCTGCTGGGGATCTTTCATAAATGGATGATTGCTGAGAAATGGATAAAGAAAGGAGATGGGAGAAGTGGTAAATGGGATACTCATCCAGATGGCCTCCAACCCTTCATAGGGGCACTCCACCATGCCTCCAATTACCCCACCCACTCCCCTCTTCTCTTCTCTTCTCTCTCACCCTTTCTTCCTTTTCTGGACCTCCTCTTCCATTCTCTATTTGTGTTCAACACAATCGATTCCTTTTTCTAACAACTTCTCCATAAAAGCTTCTCGCCAAAGAAATTCTAAAGTTTCTTTATAAAAAATTCAGAATAACAAGGTTTCAGTAAACTTTGGTAAGCAGAAAGTTGTAAATGCTATGCTAGGCTTAGCACTTATTTATAAATAATATCTTGTAAGCTTATTGAGCTTGGCAACTGATCTCTAGCTTCTTTATAGATTTTCTTTCTCAAAGATCTCAATGAAAAATATAATAGCTTATTTTTTTAAGATTTTAAACTCCTCAAAGCTTTTTAAACTTTTTAATCGATTCCTTGCAATTTCTTAAATTCTTGTCTCAAAAGTGGATCTTGTCATGCATTTTGAAGAGGTTTCCCAGGAAGAGATTTTGTTTTTTCCATTCTTTGCCTTGAAAAGATAACTCTAAAGTATGGGAAAACTTTTTGAGGCAATCTTGAGGTCTTTTCACTTTTTTTTAGGAAAGAGGTCCTCAGCTAGAAGTCTGGCAAAAATAAACATGGCCCGCTTTTATTGACCGCTTTTGGAGGGAAGGGGAGAGTGAAAAAGGAATCTCTTTCACTTTTGCAGGCTCCTCATCTACTTGAATTTCAACAATGTTTTCGATTTTTTTCGTTTCAGAATTGTTTTCTATAGATATTTTTATTTAGATAATGTTTATAATAATTTCATTGACCTTTACAAAGTTACGAATTCATTTTTGAAGCTTGTACTGATCAGAGATTCCCACACAAAATTGCTTAAATAACATTTTCTACTAAATTACTATAACCTCTAAAACTTATAATCTTTATTTCACAACTTTTCAGTATACATAGTTTCTCTTTTAGTTTCTCTTTTAGTTTCTCTTTTAGTTTGATTTCATTCTCTTTCAAAGAAAAAAAAGTGGATTGCGAAATTTCTATTTCACAAATTTCTATTTCATTGCCTGAATCATTATTCATTTTAGAAAAAATCGAAATGGAAATTCAATATGATTTTTCGCTAATCTGGCAATCACCGATACAAAAATTAGATCAAAAACAGTTGGCAAAATATGAGCCAAAACGATATTGGGCTGTGGAGAAAGTGATTGACAAAATGGGAGCACTTTCGGCACAGGTTTTAATTAAAGATAAAACTTTGTATGTAAAATATTTGATTCAAAGCTTTCCTTAAAAGCTTTCCTTATTTACTGCAATCTTTATTGTTATATTTTAGGCTCAACGATTGAAACGAGTTGTTACCTCGTATGAGAAGATTTTGGACAGTGAAGAGGATCAAGCTGTGTATATTTTGTGGGAACCGGGAAGTACTAGGTAAAGTTTAATAGCAAATTTACTTTTTTTATCGCAACCACTATGGTCTTTAAGAGTTTATTTTGAGGTTTTTGTCTAACCCAAACAAACTGTTCAAACAATCAGTTCAAATCTTTCCAGCGGTTCCTCCTTGATCATTGGATTGTTGAAAATCGGACGAAAACATTTATATCTTTTGGATCAAAATCAACAACAATATGAAGAAAACCCGTTATGCCTTCTGGACTTTTATGTTGACTCATCGAGGCAGAGAAAAGGTTATGGAAATGCGCTGCTTGATTTCATGCTTGTGGTGAGTAAAAACGTTTTGAATAGAATAGAAAAATTTGATGCAGACTCGTAATCTTAATCATTTTTTGCATTTTCTCTAATAGTAGTGCACCCTGAGCGTCGCCTAAATTCCTCGAAATCTCGAGAGCCGCTTATCAGAACCTATCGATGTGGGGTCAGAAAATGTAGCTGACGATGAGATCTTGTGGGGGATTAGAGTGTTGAGCTTCTGCAAAAGCTTGGAAACCGTAAAATAGTCACCAACTCGGCTCACCGAGATGCACTACTATTAGAGAAAATACGGTAATCTTAATTATTTCTTACTTTAACCTCAATCATTTTTACTTTAGACAGAAGTTCTGCAACCCTATGAATTGGCTTACGACAAACCATCAGCTGCTTTGTTAGGACTTCTCGCCAAGGTACATGACATACCGTAATACCTGTAATAATAGCGCTCCCATAATGGTGTACAGTCGCGTAGTCGCTAAAGTAAGTCATTGTTTTGAACGTGCCCAGATTTTTATAAAATAAACTGTTAGTATCAAAAAAATTCTTCGCTTCAAGCGCTATCTTTGGAGATCTAAGCGCACATTTTTCGTCCAAGCAGCGCGGAGAACCAAGCAAAAATTGTGTGTTAGACTACACGACTGTACGGGCGGGCTACTATTACAGATATTATGGTAGAAACATTGTGACCGAATCTTTTTAGAGATATCAATTGGACTCGAAAGTTCCACAGACTACTGGATTTGTTGTTTTTGAGGCCTTTTTTGACAACAAGTTGCCCGTTGAGCAAGATGTGTAAGTTTTAAAGCTGTAAGCTGTGTAAGCTATTAAAACTATAAATTTGATCAAATGCTAATCTAAATCTGAGCTTCTTTTCAGGTACAACAGGAGTCGAAGTGTTAACCCATCACGAGCTGACAGCGGGACTTCTACACCGAGAGTAAGTACCAGAGATACTAAAGAAACTGAAGAAACAAAAGTTACAAAGCAGTAGCGTAAAGGTATTGATGGGCTGAGAATAGGAGTGAGTGAAACATTGAGTAGCTTTTGATATACTAAATGAAACTGATGTTGTTAATCAGCCATTTTCAGAGACCCTGTTCAGCAAATGTAAATCGTCGAGTGTCGGCAGCGGCTTTGATTCACGGCGATGTTGCGCCAGAGATTCGTCCTGATCCCGGACCGGAGACTCCAATGGGAAGAAAGAACACAAGAGATTTTGGGCACACCCGAATATGGTAGCCACTAACATCCCCCAAATAATTCTCAACTTATTTCAAAGTTATTTTCTTTTAAAATGATACTTGATATACTGGATCTCTTTAAATATTTGAATATTTAAGTAATTTTCACATATTTGTGTTGTTCTTTTGATTAAAATAAGAAAAATTCAACAAGAATCTCCAGCAAGAATCCTCTTATTACTATAGAAGCTGTTGGACTACAGTAAATCAAAATGACAAGTAATTTGGGTAGTTTTAAATCAGTTGAATGACTTTCAAGTTTTATCGTTTTTATTTTAGCATATAATTTTCTAATTTATCTAATTTTGCGAATCTCTCCTTTACTGCCTAATAAGGGTACAAGAATTTCTGTGCATGTAATTTCTTTAATGATTTTTGCCCCCGCTTTAGTCAACTCTTCTTTCCTTGTGATTTTGCTTAAGAAAAATGTGCATTCAAAATCTTTTATCAACCTTTTGCATTCGAAATTTTTATCTAGTCGCTGGAAAGTTGCAAGAATAAAGTTATAACATTGAATTGAAGCAAAAACATGCTGAAAAGTAAGCAAAGAGAAAACGACACAGTAACTGCGATTTGCAGGAAATTTGCATATTAAATTTAAAAGACAGACAGGCAAGTACAAAATTTGCATAAATTCCATCTTAAACCGAGTGAACCGTAAATTTTTCATTTTTTCTGAATTTCGACACTTCTTTAGTAAGTTTTTTTTGGCTCTTGCTTGCTTTTAAAAGTGAAAAGGGTACTTTTCTAATATCGGGGGGAGCGAAAGGAAAATCAGAGGAGCAAATTTTGCCCCCTTGAAATTGCATTTCCAGGAGTGTATTTTAACTGCAACGTTTTTTTAAAAACTTTAACGACGATGCGCTTCTCCGACATTTGTGGAAATGAATACAATCCCTTTTTACAGTTAATTTGTGATTGCTAGAAAGGTTTGTGTTTCGGTTACTTCGTTTACATTTGTTCGTTCGGGATTGTGGAGCGTTCGGCAAAAAGAGAAGGGGACCGCTAGGGAAGGTAGAGGTAGGCTTGGTGTTAGATATTTAAGTCACTTTTCATCTAATATAAAGGTTGTGAGAATAACGGGTAATTCGCGGATTTTATTGTGGTAATTTGTATAATATAGGTATATAATATAATATAATATAGCGCTGGCAAAATTTGCTCCCCTGATTTTCCTTTCGCTCCCCCGATATTGGAAAAGTACCGTGAAAAGTTGTTATTTGAATTGTACCAAGATTATTCGCTGATTAAATGATGCGAATTAAATCAAATAAAGGTATGATGCGTAACTAAACCTAAAAATCAATCATTTCGCTGGTTTAATGTAATGTTTTGTTTAGAGATGGCGAATTCTTCTGTGACGACATTTGATCGAGCTGAGGTGCACCCACAAAATATTCTTCATGCTGAATTCGACTGCTTCGAAACGCTCTTCAAGACGGCTTCTGGTTGGTTTTATGCTTTTAATGCAATTGGCGAGATAGCTCAAGATAGAGAAAGTTTTATTTTTTGTAAAAGTACACGTCCAAAGTTTGTTAGAAAGAAAAACGAAACAGTTACCCAATTAAGTTTAAGCCCGTTTTTCTAAAAAAACAATTATCTTTGCATCTGCATTGTGTCCTTGAGAATATCTTAGGCAACGAGGTGGTGATCGTGCGCCACGCGGAGTCGATCGCCGAAGTGTTTCCTGATTGGGTGAAAAGAACGCGTCTCGACGAGCACTTCTACAAGCCCATCGATTTGGTGAGAGTTTAAAATATTTGTTTTAGTTTGACTTGAACAATCGCGTGCTTTTAGAATGTGCCTTTCGAGTTGCCACGTCGTTCTGAGATGCGCGAGGCGTACATGAAGGACCCACCGATCAGTGAGGTACTTAATTTTTGAGTACTTATGGGGTTATACCCACCTCATTTTTTTATCAAAATAATATATCAAGTTTAGTTAAGTTTAGTATATTTATTTATGGGTATTTATTTAAACTATTTTAAAATTATACTTCTAGATGAAATTATAGTAGATAAAGGTTAAGCTAAACTAAAAAAGACATAGTTATGACCTTTGTTTAGCCAAGTGCTTAAGAAGGCGGTGGGTAACCGCCTAAGTACCATTTTTTGTTTTAACAACATTAAAAGAGTAAAATACTAATGGTTGGCTACTATTTAGCTTTACTATCAAACTGTTAATCCTTTTTGCAGATGGGCATTCTTTTTGCCGGTCTTTTGGGTGATCAACTGGCCGAATGTAAACTTCAGGTAAATTTTGAGTTTCTTGAAAAGTTAATTCGCCTTTTAGCCTCACGCTATCTACACGGCTCCATCACTGGTTTGTCTCCAAACGGCTCGCGAACTGCAGAAAAGGCTTGAGTAAGCTATTTTAGATGTTATCACAATTTCGATCCTTAGTAAGCGCTCTCGTCCACTTCGCATCGAGCCATGTCTCTCTTGGTCGAGGAATGCTGAGGTATAATATTTAGCAGCACTTTCAAAAGACATCTTTAGGCTTATTGGTTCAAGCCAGAGGCGTTGCGTCGACTTGGTTACGATGTTGATGTTAAATACATGTAAGTTTTAGCCTATTTTATTTAGTTGATAAAAAATGGTACAGAAAGTCAACAAGTTATTTGGTCGCTTTTGTTTTATTCAATTTTTGTGTTTAGGCCAATCAAACGAGCTTCCGACGAGATCAATTCGCATTTGGATGGTAGTCGAGAGGTAGAGATGATTGCTCGGGACATGCGAGCCGCTTTAAGAACCCTTGCTGACACCGACAAAGGACCTGGTATGTCATCTAGAGCAATTTTTAATCATTTTCTTCATTTAGTGATTTTGGTGACGGATGCAGTCGGTGCGATGTGCATGCAACACTACGCTCGTGACCTTCCTTTAACTTATGGGTTAGGATATTTGTTTTTAAAATTGCGTCCATATTAAGCTAGCTCAAGTTAGAATATTTTTCTTTAGAAATTCAGTCGACGAGTTATACAAGCGGGCCAGTCGTGTCTCTCCACCCACTTCGGCCGTCGCTTTCAACGTTAGTCGCCCCGGAAACATTGTAAGTTTTTGATTGATCTAAATTTTACTCAATTATTCCGCATTTTTAGCTACTCTAGAAAGTTCTTCAGTATGATGATGATCAGTACTTTTGTATACTTTATGTGTAAATTTGTGTAGATATACTTTAGAAATGAAATGAAAATAAATTTCAATATGAATCTTTTCTTTTAGCCTTGTTTCGAATACACGGACATCGTTCGCCCAATCTGGTTTACGGGAGGCAACAATGAGGTAAAAAAAAATATTGATTTGAAAATATTTAATGTTCTTTTATATTTAACAGTTAGTATTTTAAATTTACATGGCTATATCTAATGTTTTAGATTGATTTCGACGATGGTGTTGATTACGGCAAAAAGCGTCACATTTGAGGAAACGCCTTCACACAAAAAGATATTTCATTCGACTTTTGTATACTTTATGTGTAAATTTGTGTAGATATGGTGTACTTTAGACATGAAATGGAAATAAATTTAAAACATTTAGCAAATTAACTTTCTCAATTGGTTATGTCACTTTTATCGAGTCGATGTTTTGGGTAGTCATGGAAACGGGTCCCACCAACAACCAGTCCTGGCCCATCGTCTAGAGAATTGAGTTTTTTTTGCCCATTCAACTTTCTAATAACTGTAAATTTACGTAGAGAAATTTAACTATTTACTTCTCTGACTCTAAATGAAGCTCAAGTACCAAGCACAACTTTTGCCACAACAGGTAAATTGATTTTGTGTTTGATGAACTGTTAGAGATTAGAGTAATGGCTTTGAATAAACTTTTTGAGAAGAAAGATAAATCCAAGTATAAGATATTTTTTAAGGGTGGTGCTTCTCGGATATGTGCAATTGCATCGACTCCAAATGCTTCAAAAGCGGCTGTGGCGACCACCGATCGAGCAATCGTTTTATTTGATGAAAAGGGTGAACAAAGGGAGAGATTCGCCACAAAACCCATTGATGCAAAGGTGGGTTGGAGAAAATGCAACATAAGTTCTGCATTTTTTAAAAGAGTCTACTGTACAGTAGTCAAATTGTAGACATTCTCTTTCTGACGCACTATACTGCCTAAAGAAAGGCGAAGAATTCGTGCGCTAGAAAGGGTACATTTAACATCTGAGCTCAAAGTACACAGTAGAGCATATCAAATTAAAAATGGATTCAGTTTGGAAAGAAGAGTTATGTGATTCGGTGTATGTGCTTCTCACCGGATTCTACGAGATTGGCCATTGGACAATCGGATAATGTCGTTTACGTCTACAAATTGGGAACCACTTGGTTGGCGAACAAAAAAGATTAGAGATTCTTTTAAAAGATTTCGACACATGTATATTTATTTTGTTTTAGGTCCGAGAAAAAAGTGATCGTGAACAAGTTACTACAAACGTCTTGTGTCTCGGCGTTGAGCTGGCCCTTCGAAGACAAGTTGTTGATTGGGTTAACCGATGGAAAAGTTCGCATCGGTCTCATCAAAAATAACAAATGTTCTTCGTTGTATAAGACTGATCAAGCGGTTGTTTCACTTTCAACAAAGTTTGTTGCGAATTTTTGAAAATCTATGAAACTTTTAGTCCAAAGAAGACGGCTTTCATCTCTGGGCATTTCGATGGGAGCATTATTCTCTTCATTTTTGCTAGTAAATCACAAGTAAGCTAGTGATTGTAAAAGAAGCAAATATTTAATGTTTTTCAAAGAATTTTATCAGAATTACAAGTTTAGAGTAAAATCTGCACTCACCAAGTGACACCTTACTCTCTGGTTTTCACATCACACGGATTGTTGGTGGCTGGAAGTGATCAAAGGTTTAATTTAACTGCATGATTTTCAAAAGAATGACTTTAAGAGTGCTTTCCTACTCAGAAAATGGAGTTGTTCAACAGCAATGGGACTTTTCGGAGGAATCGGACAAGGAATTCTCAGCGATTTGCACCGATCCAACAGGAAACAATGTTGTCACTGGCTCCTATGACAAGTGAGAAACACTTTGAAACATTATCTAATTAACAACTTTTTAGATTGAGATTATTTTCATTCAATACGAGACGCGGTGCCTGGGATGAGGACACTCCACTTCGGATTCCAAATCTTTACTCGATCACAACATTGGATTGGAAAGGCGATGGGAGTGCGGTGTATTGTGTAAGTTTGCATTATGATCTGCATCTGTCATCTGCAGCATTTTATTTTTGAATCCTGCATTGTGATAGTCGAATTTCAAATCTTAAAAGTTTAAATTTACAGTAATCTTACAGTAGCTGCAATGATTTTACAGAAACTTACAATAAACTGCATCCTAATTGGAATAACTACCGTAAAAAAAAACTAATAGAAGTGCCCCCCTCCGTGCAGTCACGTAGTCGATAAATTGTTTTACAAAATCAAAATCTAAGCACCTAAATTTTGTAAAAATGCGTCTTTGGTATCAAAAAATAGCCCTGAATCTCAGCTTTTTTTGACGTCAAAGTGCACTCTGTAGCATAAAAGCAAGAACGAACGAAGTGCTAGACGTTGCGACTACGCAACTATACGGCCGTAATTATGGGAGCGCTTCTATTAGAGTTTTTACGGTCGCTTTTCTCAGGCCTAATAAAGCAGCTAAACCAAGCATCACTACTGTAGCTACTTTCAATTTCAGGGAACACTCACGGGCTCAGCACTTGTGATCGACTGTTCGTTGAGAAGAACAATGATAAAATCGAGATTCGAGACAACCCATGTTGCCCCGTCGCATGTAATCCTTCGCGATGTCACCAATGAATCAAGAACAAGTGTTGTCTCAAATAAAGGACTTCAAATCGATGATATCAAGGTATAAAATGATAATGATCACTCAAAATTGAATCTAGATGATGGGAAAAGATCAATTTGTCGTTGCTTACACGGCAAGCACTTTGATCATTGCTGATACTCAAACGGGGAAAGCCTCGGAAATCGATTGGTTCTCTGGTGGACATGAGAAGTAACTAATTAAATGGCTTACAACTTTTTTGCAATCCCGTTTTAGATTTTACTTCGATTACCCGAATGTTGCTGTCATTGTGAATGCTGGAGAGGTCACTGTAGTCGAATATGGAAAAGATGGTTGGTGAAATTGAAGATGTGAAGATTTATAAATCTTTAGGTGCTCTTGGCTGGGTTCGAACGGAACTTGGCTCAAAGCATCTCCTTAGTCTTCAAGTCAACGAAAATGCGAAAGGTGTGGTGATGAAAAAGATCGCCTATCTAGCAGATCCAACAACAATTGCTGTTTGTGAGTTTATTTGCTAATTTATAAATTTTATCAAATATTTAAGCAATTCAATGCTTTCAGATAACTTCTTGACTTCACAACAGGATGCTCTAATTGATTCGAAGAATAAGATTGATTGGCTGGAGGTTTGGACTAAATTAAGCAAAAAATGCAAAAATTTTTTTAGCTAAACGAGTCAGCAAACCGCTTACTTTTTCGAGACAAACGATCTCGAGTGTCTTTAGTGGATTTGGAGACAGACAAGAGAACATCTTTACTCAACTTTTGCTCCTATGTTCAATGGGTGCCGGCAAGTGATGTGATTGTGGCTCAAACCGGAGACAGTCTTTATGTTTGGTAGGCTTGTTTGGTAAACTTCAATAAATACAGGAAACAAAGCTTTTCCATATTCCAAGACTTAAAGTTGATAAAACGACAGGTACAATCACGATTTAGTAAATTTGTAGCAAAACAAATAAAGTTTTTATATTCAAAGTTCATAAAACTGAATTTCAGGTACAATCCCGACTACCCGGATCAAGCGACGATCACTCAAATTCGGGGCGAAGTCGAGGCGGTGTTGAGAGACAACGATCGAACGGAAGTGATCGTACAGGTGAATTAGAGTGAATGAGAACAAATTCTTAAACTGATCTTAAACTTAAAACTAAACTTATTCCAGGAATCGACAGCCAAAGTCGCGTATGAGCTCGACAATACGCAAATCGAGTTCGCCGCCGCGCTGGAGAATCTCGACTTCGAGAGAGCTGTTTCATTTCTGGAGAAGAGCCACGATCAAAATGAGACGTGAGTGATTTGAGTTGATCTAAAGGGTTCTAAAACTAAATCTAAAGGATCTAAAGACCTAAAGGGTAAGCTTAACGAGTTAAACTTGAGATAATGATTCCGAGTTATCAAGTCTTTGAAGAGTAAATTGCTTTGGGTCGAAGGCGTTAAGACTTTAAAAGTTCATCTTTATTCAAGCCACCCAAACCTCTGCTTTTCGAATGACATCATTTAGCAACAAATAGGATAAAACACGTTTTCGACTGCTGATGACGAAAATTACACAATAGTAGCAATTTGCGTGAGGTCTCAGCTCAATTCTTACACTTGATCCATCGAATTCTTTCTTCATATTGAAATTGATCTTTCGTCGTGTTTGACAAAAATTGATTTGACTCCAGCCAGAAGTTTCTTCAAGTGTTTCTCTGAAGAAAAAGCTTTTGAAATGGCAGAATCCAACTCACTTGAGTACAATTCCCCAATAGATTGAAAGACGGAAACAGAGTGGGATTCCGTACTCGTGATTTGTTAGAATCTGGCCAGCTTTCACCATCTGTAGATGTTCAGGAATCAAGACTCACAAAATAAGTACCTCAATAATATTTAGAATGTGATCGGCATTGAAAAACTTTGCTGGGAAGCTTGATGCTTCTAGAGTACAAGTAACCAAGGAATCACGATCGATATGAAGGGTTTTCGGGAATGAAATCCATTTGAAGTTGTTGAAGTAAGAGATACGGGAATAGTCGAGTAACCTAAATAAGGATTGGATAGTACTTGCAAGTACTTGTTTTGCTATAACTACAGCAAGCAAGAACACTGTGCTTTTGGCCAAATATTGATCCAGTCATTTACCGAAGAAGGTTGTCAAACATGCTAAAATGCATGGGAGAAACCGAAAGGACGACTTCACGAACAGTTGGCTTTGATCTTGAAAAAAGATCAATCAACTCAAGTGTGGACTCCTGGAAGAATAAGGTTAATTCAGTTAGAATAAGATTCTCGGAAAAGCTGCCATGGTCGATTGGCTAAGAGCGACTCGTATCTTGGTCGGGGTGTCAATTCCGTAGGCGAGATTGTTAGTTCTTTTTTTCCCATATATATGTTTTTTCTTTCCTACATTTAGGGCTTAGGGATTGAGTGCGTGTGGATGGTTTGTACCACATTGTTCGTGTGAAGAAATGCATGCTTTAGAAGAATAAGATTTAACTAAACATAAAACTATTTTGTTATTGATATTGTGTTAGCTAGTTACTTTCCCAAATGAGCCAGTAAAAGGACAAAAAGTACTTGTTTTGACTGATTCCCGTGAAATTGCAATCATTTCTATGGAATTGGGAAAATTGGCTCCAATGTTTATCAACTCACGTGATTTGAATCGATATCGATTATCAGAAATTTAATTCTCGAGTGCTGCAATCGCTTAAAAACCCGTTCATCTGTAATTTTAAGTGAAGGTTGATCGTCATCAATTCGAATAAATACATTTCCATGTCGATTTGACTAAATATAAAACTATTTTGTAAAAATAGAAATTCTTATCAAAATTTATTTACCTGTCCAACATAACAAAACTCTAATAAAGGCCATTTCAATTTCGATGCATTTGCTTGAACTATAGAAAGAAATCGCTTGTTGAGAAGAATAAATCTCCGATAGACATCTTTGCGATGTAAAGTTTCGACAATTTTTAGCAATATTTCGTTGGGGAAAGAATCCATAAATGAATATTAATGATTTGCATTGGCAATTGTTTTTTTGTTTGCGGGGAGAAATCGTTTTGTTGGCTGGAAATCAATGAGTTTTCTCGGGAAGAGAGATAGTGATTGGAGAGGAGTGGGTGAGAGATAAATGGAAAGTAAATATGGAAAAGGGTTTTTGAGTTTTTAAGTCGGGAAGGACAAAATAGCAACAAAGATAAACAAAAGCTTAGGAATTCTAAGATTCCAGATATCTAATGTGGAAACGAGTCGCCTATATGGCTTTGGACCAAGGAAAGTTTTTGGTGGCTCAGCGGTGTTTCGCGGCAATCGGTGACATTCCGAGAGTGAACTTTGTTCGAGTAAGAAATTAATAAAAACTTAATGATATAAAAGCCTAGGAAACAATTCGCATTGCGGATGAGGCGGCAAAGACGATTGGCGGTGATGGGACGCATTTCTTCAAAGTACGCGCGAACATCGCTCGAATGAACAAGCGATTCAAAGAGGCTGAGAAAATTTATTTGGAACAGGTGTGGGGAATTTACTTGTCAGATATTTTCGATATTTAGATCTTGTGTCAGATCTTGTCAGATATGTCAAAGTTTTCGGCAAATAAGCTCATGTTCTACATTAACGCTTTTGGATAAGGACTTTGTTAGGAGCTTTTGCTCTTTTCCTGCCTTTTTTTGGCTGAAGCAGGCACGCTTCTGTGGCTCAGTGGTAGAGCGTCTACCTCGAGGGAGGTCGAGAAACAGGAAGGTCGAGGGTTCGATTCCCCTCTTTCTTTGCCATTTCTTTTTAAAAATAAAAACAGAAAACGGGAAAGGAGAGGAAAGGGGCGAAGGTTAAAATAGAATGGCAAAAATGGCTAGAACTGGGTAAAATAGGTCAAATTTCATGGTTTGGTTCATAATGACGCCCAATTTTCTTTATTTTTATCCTCCTATGATCTCAACTGATAACACAGAAAAAAGCGATTTTCAGAAATGTATTCGCCAATTTAGCTACAAATATTAAAATCTTATTGTAAATTTAAAATCAACTTAAAATTATCAAAGTTTTACATCTAAAAAGTCATTGCAGAACGACATTGAAGAAGCAATCAACATGTACAAATCGTTGCATAAATGGGAAGAGGCATTAGAGTTAGCGAGAGCTCGGGTAAGTGATCAATTTTAAGCAAAAAAAAGTTTGATGATTTTGAAAGCAACAAATTATATTATTTTCAACTTACAGAACTATCCTGGCTATGAGCAATTGAAGATGAATTACCATCGAGCGTTAGCCGAAACGGGACAAGAAGCCAAAGTTGCAGAGGTGATTTAAAGATCTTTATAGAAACTTTTTATCTAAGAATGAAAGCTTTTAACAGATTAAAATCAAATTCTCATCTTTAAAATGCAACTAATTACAGCTAAAAGCCACGGAAGGTGATCCCCGCACCGCTATTCAACTCTATCTTAAATCGAATCAACCTACCAAAGCTCTAACTGTTGTTTTGCAGAAAGAAGAGCTTTTAAATGATTCAATGATTACTCAAGATATTGCACAATCTTTAGTAAAAAATCGTTTCTTCGAAAAGGTGAGATAAAATCGAGTAATGTAAATGTGAAATGTTTTAGGCGGGTGATCTATACGAGAAGCTCAAAGAATTCGATAAAGCCATGGAGAATTACTTAGAAGGAAAAGCTTTTCAAAAAGCGATACATGTAAGTCATTTTGTGTAGATTTTTGAATTAAAACATAAATTTAGGTCTCTCGTTTCGCATTTCCGGATAAAGTGGTTGGTATTGAAGAGGAATGGGGAAATTATTTGGTTCAACAAGGGCAACCAGAAGCAGCAATCAATCATTTCTTAGGTATAAATATAAACCTTAACTATAGAAAGATTATTCATAAGTTTTTAGAAGCGAATTGCACGGAGAAAGCCGTCGAAGCAGCGATCAGGGCAAAGGAGTGGAGCAAAGCTGTGCAGGTAAAAGACTTAGTAGAATAAAATTGATTATCAAACCAGGAAATACAAGATAATGGATTAGTTTAAGATACTATTTAAGTTATAAATCTAAATCAGCAACTTTTTTAGATTGTTGATGTGATTCAAGACACCGAGAGATCGCATTTATTCTATGGACAAATCGCAGAACATTATGCCAGCGTTGGAGAGTTTGATGTAAGGAATGTTAGGAAATTTTACGCTTGCTAACTTCTAAAGAATCTAAATATCTACTTATCATTGTTATATATCCTTTTAGAGAGCTGAGCGTCTCTTCATTGAGGCGAATCTTCATAAACAAGCCATTGCTATGTATATCAAAAGTAGCAAATGGGCGGATGCGTATAGAGTGAGTTATTGAAAAATAGCTAAATAATAAAATATAATAAAATAGCTCAGTCAAAGTAATTCATTTATTTTCAGCTTTCTGAAGAGTTCTTGGGTCGAGAGGAAACGGCTCAAATGTACGATCGAAAAGCTGAAGAATTGGAGGAACAAGGGAGATTGGCTGAAGCAGAACAGGTTTATTACTTTTATTACTTTCATTTTTTAACTTCATAAAGAGATTTAGCTCTACATTTCGATTGGTATGTCAAACAAGGCGATACAAATGTACAAAAAGGCGAACAGAAACGAGGAGGTGGTTCGTCTTGTCGGCCAATATCACTCAGAGCATCTATTAGTGAGTGTTTTACGCCATAACTAGGGTTAACTGAGGAAAAAAGGTAAAAGGCAAGTCAAAGCCAAACCATGGCCTTACAAGATCTTGCTTAGAGTGTGCTCCTCTCAAATAATGTTTTCTAAAAAATTTCTAAAAGATTACTAATCTCGCAGTCCATAAGTAGAAAGTTATTTTCATTTTCCAAACTTAAAATGAAGTTAACTATTGCTTTTTTCTATATTTTTTGCAAACAGTATTTAATAATAAGCTTTAGATAATTTCGAAAAGTATAGCATAATGAGTAACAGCTCAATGAATGGAGTAAAATTTTATTGAAAGTAGACTTTTACATATAACTCCTTCTTTAGAGCCCAGGAACTCCCAGTAGAAAACCAAGTTTGTCATAGCAATTTATGACCAAACACAAAAAGAGTGACAAATATACAGAAAAAAAGCATATATAGAAAATGAGTAACAGCTCAATGAATGGAGTAAAATTTTATTGAAAGTAGACTTTTACATATAACTCCTTCTTTAGAGCCCAGGAACTCCCAGTAGTTTGCCAAAACCAAGTTTGCCATCTCTTGTATAGCAATTTATGACCAAACACAAAAAGAGCGACAAATATACAGAAAAAAAACTGTCCTGGCACGTTGTTCGTCTTCGTGTTCGTTTTCTCCTTTGGTTGATCATCTTCTTTTCTTGTTTGTTGTTTCTAAAAATAAATATTTGTTTAAAACTAAATTCTGATAAGGATAGAAAAAAAAAAGAAGTAAAACTTTCAGAAATAATAAAAGAAAAACGCAGAAAGAGCGTTTAGGAAAGCGTGATTTTTAGAAAATGACGTTGCTAACGAGCACCTTTTAGAAAACATGATTTGAATGATTTGATTTGAGAGGAACACACTCTACACTTGTTGACGTTGTCTTGGAGTGACTTGAAATAGACCAGTCCCTTTTTCAGGAGACTCACAAAAGATTGGGCGAAGAACACGAAACAGCGGGTGATTTGAAAGCGGCTGAAGAAGAATATTTGAAGGCGGGAGAGTATAAAATGGCCATCGATATGTACAGGTGTGGATTAGTTTTGTTGAGGAATTTCAACTAAAAACTTTAGAAAAGCCGAGATGTGGAGTGACGCTTATCGGTTGGCAAAAACCGAAGGCGGGGATATTGTGCAAAAGCAAGTGGGATCTAATGAAATTGGAATGTTATTTTGATGGAAAATTTCTTATTTACAGGTTGGATTCCTCTGGGCAAAGAGTCTTGGTGGCGATGCGGCGGTGAAGCTATTGACAAGGTTCAATATGTTGAGTGATGCTATTGATTTTGCGATTGAGAATGGGTTAGTCAAAATGAAGTGATCTAGATCGAAAGATTGAAAATAAATCAGTTCAGCAAAAAAGAACAAATGCTTGATTCAGGGCTTTTGATTTTGCTTTCGATTTGGCGAGGCTTGGGATGAAAGAGAGACTTCCAGAGGTGATGTTGTAAAAGTATTAAAAGTAAAACTAGTAGAGAAAGTTATTGTACAGGGTGTTCCAAAAAAAAGTCAGTTCAGCGTGATTTTTCTCAGTATTTCTAGTGGCTTCTGGTGGTTGTTGTGATGTCAAAGTGAATATTTTGGGCGGGCAAATTTTTGTTTTTTAACTTTTTCCCGATTCCATGACTTTCCTATACGTGAAATTTCTTAGCCACCGTGGCTGCCACCACCATGAAATTTTTGCCATAAAATTAAAACTTTCTATTGGCATCGTGGTGTCATATCAAAGCTAACATGTAAACTAAGATTTTCAACCAAACACTTGATTAGTAGCTCTTAGAGTCAATACATAAACTAGCTTAGTACACTTGATAAGATGACTCTTAGAGTCAATATATAAACTAAGATTCTCAACCAAACACTTTATCGGTTTAGAACATCCAGTAGTCTCTTGTACATAGAACTCTTTTAACTCACAATTTTTAAAGTAACAGCCATGTTCTGCTCATGAGCTACTAATCAATAAAGTGTTTGTTTGTAAATCTTAGTTTACATGTTAGCTTTGGTATGACACCACGATGCGAGTAGAAAGTTTCAATTTTATGGCAAAAATTTCATCATATGGTGGTGGCAGCCATGGTGGCTAAGAAATTTCATGCATAGGAAAGTCATGAAATTGAGAAAAAGTGAAAAAACAAAAATTTGCCCGCTCAAAATATTCACTTTGACACCACAAAAACCACCAGAAGCCACTAGAAATTTTGAGAAAAATCACGCTGAACTGACTTTTTTTGGAACACCCTTGTATATTGTAAGCTCTGCAAAGTTTTAAATCTATTTTATTATGCTGAAAAAACTTCAGGTTCACACACGAATCGCCGTTCAAATGGAAGAAGAGGGACGGCTGGAAGAAGCGGCTAAACATTATATAGAGGTGAGCTTTGTAAATATGGGGGGCAAAAAACTTATCAGTGTTCAGGGTGGTAAAGCGGAAGAAGCTGTCTCAATGTACATTCATGATCAAGATTGGGCTAATGCGGAAAAGATTGCCAAGTGAGTGGATAGAACTCGCGTTAACAGTCCTTATAAGGAACTATTATTCACAAAATAGTTCATCGATTTTGAAAACGTAAACTTAAAAAACTTAAGAATGCAAAGATAGATGTAAAGAAGAATACAAAACTTTGCGTTTTTTTTGCACAAACAAACAACAAACAACAACAACAAACAACAAACAAACAACAAACAAACAAACAAACAAGCAAACAAACAAGCAAACAACAAGCAACAAACAAAGAACACTGCTTTTGTTACTGGAGTTAATAAAGTCCTGAACTAATGATCATTATCATCATAAAAGTTGTAAAAGGGTGCAAAAAACGTAAATATTTAATGCAAAGATATCAGAAAACGAATTTTCAAAAAAAAACAAAAAGAATGGGTTAAGGGAGGTTTCGAACCCAAGGCAAAAAAACTTCATAAATTCCGTAGGCTAGCACACTATCCACGAGACCACCGAAGCCGTTGGTGGTCCCTTAAAGAGTCTGAAATTTAAGGGGAATTTTCTATGCCAGATTCCTTGCGATTGCATGGGTGTTTGCAGCTAATTTTTACAGATTCAGAATCAGCATAACCATATGAGATGCACTCAGTCACGAAGCGATTCTGAACCTCGAGCTCGTGTCATTCCATTGTTAGCAAAACTGTTTCTAGAGCTCATTTTTGCAAACACCAAAAATATTCAAGCAAAAAAGCTACAATAGAGTGTGAAAATTAGGGAGAAATAATTTAAATTTAAAGAACTTTTAGAGAACATGCTCCAAATAGTCTCGCTGACGTTTACACTGGAGAGGCAAGGAAAGCTTTAGAAGCTGGTGATCATCAACGAGCTGAAAGTTTCCTATTAAGGTTTGTGAAAATAAGAAGATCAATATATCCATAAAAATTCTATAATCTTTTAGAGCCGGCCGTCCAGACATCATTATGCGATATTTCAAAGAACAAGGAATGTGGGTGGATGCGTTGAGAATCGCCAAGGAATATTTGCCAAATCAGTTAGCTCAATTGCAAGTAAGTTTATGTATTGGTTAAATAAGCAATTCATGTAAAATTTGAGAAAAAAACAACCTTAAACCTTCAGGAAGAATTCGACAAAGAGGAGCTCCGAAGTGGCGCTCGTGGAGTTGACTCATTTTTAGCTCAAGGAAAAGAGTGGGAGCAAAATGGAGAATATTTGCGAGCAGTTCAAGCATTTCTTAAAGTAAGTAAAGCATTTTTAATTGTATAAGCTAAAGGATTTGATTTTTAGATTAATTCTGAGACTACATCCGATCAGGATTTGATCCGGCAAAGTGCTCTGAAAGCTGCCGAGATTGCGCTCAAGTTTTTGATTGGCGGTTCGAATCATGAGATTTTCGGAGAAATTTTGAATCGCTTAAGTGAGGTGAGATTTATATTAATGTAGATTTTTCATTTATAAATTTTCAAATAGAAATATTTTAGCTTGACGAACATGAGAAAGCTGCTGAAGTGCTTTTGGCATTGGGAAGCAGTCGAGAAGCGATTCAGGCTTTATGTCATGCTCAACAATGGAGTAAAGCTAGACAAGTAAGTTAATATTAAAAAATTTGCATAAATTTATAAATTTAATTGATATATGTCTTAATAAGACTAATAGCTTTCAGATAGCCACCGAATTTTTGCCTGAGGCTTTGCCGGAGATTGAGTCAATGTACAAAGAGAGTTTAAAGAATGAGGGAAGATTGGGAGAGTTGATTGGTAAGAAAATGAGGAAATTAAATCAAATACTGTATTATTTCTCTTTTCAAAAAATAAAATGTGTTAGATGTTGACGCAATATCGGCAATCGAGCTTCTCATCGAACGAGGGCAATGGGAGAAAGCGATTGAAACAGCTAAACAGCAAAAGGTGACCAAAGATGATTTGATGATTCAAGACTGGCAAGATAAGACTTGCACTCTAGTATTGCTTTAGCAATAGTAAACATTAGTATTGCTAAAGTGAACATACTGTATTTATTCTAGTAGCTAAAATATTAGGTTGTCCGGAAATAAATGAGCGTTTTCAACTCGAATATTTAAAATCCCATAACTTGATCCAAACAAAACTTTATTAATCGAAATAAGAACCATTACAAATAACACATTTTTGCCAACGAGAAACAAGTTTATTTATGCCGGTAGCATAGAAATCCGGGCTTCTGGAGGCGATAAAGTCGGCGAAGGCGTTTTTTGGCATCGTCTTGAGTTTTGAAGCATTTCTCCCGGAGAAAGTTGTCGAGGTGCTTGAAAAAGTGGTAGTCGGTAGGCGAAAGGTCCGAAGAATATGGCGGGTGAGGCAAAGTTTCGTAGCTCAGTTCGTTCAGCTTTTGCAGGGTCGGTTGTGCGACGTGCGGACGAGCGTTGTCGTGGAGAAGAATTGGACTCTGTGTCGTCTCGCCCACGCCAAGCTCCTCCGCAAGCTCTCGAATAGTCGTACGTGGATTTGCTTCCACCAGGGTCTTCAGTTCGTCGTCACCGAGTTCAACAGGACGGCCACGGCCTTCTTTATCTTCGAGATCAAAATCATCAGCTCGGAATTTTCGGAACCAAGCTCGTATTGTTGACTGTTGCCACTGCCTTGGCCCCAAACTTTGTTAATGTTACGAGCCGTTTCAGCTGCATTGCGACCGAGTTTGAACTCATAAAAGAAAATCTGGCGAAAGTTCGTTTCAGACACTTAAAACGCCGAAGCTTAAAATTCGCAAAAAATCTTATTTTCGACAAAATTTAAAATTATGGTTAAAGAGAGCACAAACTCAGCTTTCTAATGGTATATAACATTGCAAGATACAGAGCATACTTTATTGAGAAAAATATACCCAAATAATAAACAATACAAAACGTTCATTTATTTTCGGACAACCTAATATTTTCCAGCTTAAATTCAGCTCACTTTTTGCGCCAGAAAAACGATTTCTTATGAGGCAAAGCTAACATAAATGAGCAATACGCTCTATAATCTCTATTTTTACCCTAAAAATTTTTATAGAGAAGCTGTATTTCAAAAAAATCATTTTTTTGGTGTCATCTTCTTGGCACTTTGCTTAAATAGGTGATTCTGAACAGTTAAAGCATTAGATAAAATTTGCCTTTTCACAAATTTTCTCTATTTTAAAGTACTTGATGTGGTTTGTGAATGGGATCCATTGCCTATTCATTAAACCATAAAAACTTGTCTAAAGGCTAGTCACTCAAAAAGTTCGTTTCGGACATCTAAAACGGCGAAGCTTAAAATTCGCAAAAAATTCTTATTTTCAACAAAATTTAAAAGTATGGTTAAAGAGAGCACAAACTCAGCTTTCTAATGGTATATAACATTGCAAGATACAGAGCATACTTTATTGAGAAAAATATACCCAAATAATAAACAATACAAAACGCTCATTTATTTCCGGACAACCTAATAAATCTAGAGCCATATCATAACTTTAGCTAAAAAGAAGTTCTTGAAAAGGCTCAATTTTGTGGTCTTCTATTAGAGATTGACTAATCTATTAGAATATTATTAGAATAAATATGGTAGATAATCCGTTTTAGCATGCTCCTCTACTTGACAAATATGTGGCCAAGTACGCGTCTCATTTGATTAAAGACGGTGATTACACGAAAGCCTCAAAGTTATTTGAAAGATATGGAGCCGCTGGAAAAGAAGAGAACTTCAACATCTACAAAACAATCTTTGATGAGGTTTCTTTGACTTTTGAAAAATGAACGCTTAGTTTAGGTGGCTGGCACCCAAATGAGCACTCTTCTTGAAGAGTTTGAGAGGCTGTCACTTGTGCGAAACGTTTTCCAATCGATTGTCAGCAATTTGGAGACGGCAAAGTCACCGCATTATCATGTAAGTACTGATATTAGAGCTTGAACTTATAGTTAGAACGTTTTAAGAGTTTAAAGCGTTCAAGACTGATTCAAGAGCTGAATGTTTGTAAAATTCTTGAAGCTTCTGATTTGCCTTAACTAGATTTTGGCTTTGACTAAACATAGAACAAAGATTTTGGACTTTAACAAAATATTGGAAAATAACTTTCATCAACATTTAGATCTACAATCGTCAACTTATCTCGCTTCATTTAATGTGTGTTCGCTGTGCGCTGACCGGATCCGATGAACAAGAAACAAAAAAAACACGATTAAAACAAAGCATTGCTCTTCTCCGATATACCGATCTTCTGCCACCAGATCGAATGTTTTACGAAGCGGGAATGCTTGCAAAAGTTTGTTATTGAACTTAACTCGTAAATTCTAGACATTTCAGGAAATTGGTGGAGAATATGAGGGCTGTGCTTTTCTATTCCTCAATCATTATCTCGATTTGCATGAAGCGATTGAAGATGGATCACCTGATATGGTCGACTTTACGCCATTTGAGAAGACTGAATTCCCACCGGAAGTCCCATTGCCCGATAAGACATTTTTACAGGTCTTAGCTTTCAATTTGATATTGGCATAGAATTTCAACATTGAATTGAACAGGCCAACACCAAGAAATTTGAGCTCAAAGTTGGATTACCAATGGCAAAGGGGGCGGGGCGCGTATCAAACGTATCAATCCTTGGAATTAGTTAAATACTTCTTTTCAGGGTCCCGAACACGAAGAGATTAAAGAATGGGTATTAGCGATTTCTGTGGACGATAGTGCGAAGAAAAATCTCATTGTGGACGGTCGAGGATGTTTTGAGGCAAATCTCACCAATGGGAGTGATGAGAAAAAGATGTGCATATTGACAGGTTTAGTCAGTGATTAGTCAAGAAAAGACAAGTGATTCAGGTTATCCAATCGTGCAAACGCTTGTCGATGTCGGGAATGGAGTGTTTGCTGATAAAGAAGAGCTAAATCGTTATCTGATTCTGTTGAGGAAAAGTCCCACTGATCAGCTACAAGATGTTTCAAATTTTGTCTCAAAATTGGCCAAGAGTGCCCTTGGATTACAATTATGATTGTAGAAATTGTAGAAAAAGAATTCTTGCTTTGTTTACAATGTGTTACTTTACAAATAATTTGAATCACCATAATTATGCGAGTGCTTTGCGAGTAAATGTGTTTTGATCTCATTAATCAATAAGTTTTATTTCCTTTTCTCAAATACAATAAAGCTGTAACCCAGAAAAGAACATCGAAAAGATAAAACTAAGCACAATAAATGTAATCGAAAAAAGAGAGATGCTAGAGTAGAATTATTAGAAGACAGAGATCACATCAAGAGAGAAAAATGAGTACACATCACAATTGGAGGGAAAGTAGAAGAAATTACTTGGAAATCCTTCTTTGTGCACGACATTTCGACCTCTGGATTTAAAAGGAATGGAGAAGAGAATCAAGTACGACCAGTCTGAAAAGATTAGATGTGCAAATCTTTCTTTTACAAGTTACTAAAGCTATCAAATATTCTGTTACAGGGATTATGATAATCTTTTAGTCAAGCTCTGAAGCTCGCTAGTCAAGCTCTCTAGATAGTCATAGTAAGGATGTCCTAGGGTTGATATTGGTTGCTTTTAGAGTCCTAGGGTTGATCTTTAGTTTAAAACATGAACCAGCTTGAGCTTGGCTTTGTACTTCATTTTCAGTTACTATTGGGGAGCTTTGCTAATCATTATCGAATCGATTCAGAGATAAAGTTAGGTAAATCGCTCAAAATCTGCTCAAAATTGACTATTACCGTATTTTCTCTAATAGTAGTGCACCCCGGCGAGCCGAGTTGGTGACTATTTTACGGTTTCCAAGCTTTTGCAGAAGCTCAACACTCTAATCCCCCACTAGATCTCATCGTCAGCTACATTTTCCGACCCCACATCAATAAGATCTGATAAGCGGCTGTCGAGATTTCGAGGAATTTAGGCGACGCTCAGGGTGCACTACTATTAGAGAGAATACGGTAACTATAATAATATAATTAAACATTGAATAGAATCGTTGAAGATTCAAAGAAAACTTTATTCTGCTTTACTTTTTCAGAACTTCAACAAAATCTGCTCAAAATTGACTATTAATTGATTGGTATTGAGCTCAACTCACCAAAGCACATGTTGATTTGACGTTAAGGAAAAGTTTCTCGATTTCGGGTGTGCATCTCGTGAAATCGTGATCCCAGAAACGGTAGATTGGATTTCGAATCAATTCGAGGAAAGTGACGAGAAGACCCCATGGATGAGGACGAAGAGCGATCACTCTCTCGAAAAGGATACGCGTGATTTGTTCCTGAAAATTCGTGCATAGTAGAGTTTAATTTAGCTGACAGTTTAGTTTTGTTGCTTCAAAGGTATTTTGTTTTGCACACCCCGAAATGTGTCAAAGATGAAACTAATTCTCAAAAGCAAATATCCCATCTTATAGAGCTTGTTTTAAGCTTTCAGAATCACTATAACACTTCCAGTCTATGATGGAAAGGCTCGGAGTTATAGCTCTTCAAAGATAGAGAAAAATTCGCGAGGTGATAATGTTTTGTTTAGTACTTTACCATTCTGATTGTAGCCCAGAATCTTGTTGAATCTACTGGTTATGTTAAAGTTGAATAATTATGTATTCCTTATGCAATTCTCACTTTCACATGAATGGTATCAGCTCGAAGAAACAAAAACAACAGCGAACAGCTGAAGTAATGCGTGTGCGCATTTGGATATCGCAGCTGATTTGCCATCGCGTTGAAGAGAAGATAACGACCTATATATTTTTAATGATATTTAGCTTTTCATAAAAAACCTTCTGTGCACAGTTGTACAGCCAAATTCTGGAAAATATCCATAAAAGATGTGTGCGCGATGGTGGTGATCGAGATGCATTGACCTTTCAGTTGAAGTGATTCGACAGCTTTTGAACCAACATAAAGTACAAGAGCGTTGATGAGAGACGAGTTGTACTTGGAGCCTGGGACTTGTGAGACCTGGAAATTCAACTCGTTAATGGTTAGCTTTTCAAGTACAAGAAATGAATGGCAAAGAATTTAGGAAGAAAGGGGAATTGTACTCTTAACGCTCTACTACTGAGCTATCGGAGCTTTCTTTGCTCAAGAAGAAGTAGAAAAGACAAGGAAGGAAGAAAGGCAGAAAGATATTAAGCTCAATAAACAAACCGTTAAGATAACCGGCAGCGAAGTGAGCAAATCGACTCCAGCTCGAGTTCTTAAATGATTGTCGAGTTGTTGCCGCAACTCTACCGGGATGATTTGTTCAAGGCTCAGTCCTGTCTTTGGCTCAACTCCCATTTCTGGGATGCTGTCAAGGTCCTGGAAAGGTATAACATTATTAAAGTAATATGTAGATGAGATGAAGGATTCTAAAAGGTTATGCTAGGTCAAGTCAGCTTGAAAATGAATCAATTAGTGATTAAATTATTGTAAGCTGAAAGAAAAGGCAAAAAGCTGACTCGAATCTAAAGCAATCTTAGCTGAATTCCACTAAAGTCAAAAAGAAACAATCTTTAAACTTCAGAAATAAACCTGAAAGACTTAGAAACAAACCTTAAACTCTAAAGTTGATGGATTTGGCAATCTCATATGCTTTGGATAGGCGGAAAGGACGAGATTTCTCAATTGAATGCAATTCGGTGGAATCACATCACAGAGGGCAAAATGGAATTCACAAAGAAGTTCGGGAAAATCGTGTAAGATCACTAGGAAAACCCGTAGAGTACCCTGAAGTTTAATTGAGTTTAATTTTGAATAATGATAAGTAAACCTTGTATAAAGTGAGTATATTCTTTGGGAGATCAACATTTCGCAGGTAGGGATGCAAGAATTTCAATTGTAAAATGAGTAGCTGTATGTACAAAGAAGCAGCCTTTAGAGAATCGCTTGTCGGGGGAGTGTTGCCTGAAAATTTATTCGATATAAACATTGAATTGATTCATTGTTTGCCTTAAAATGCCTTTTTCCTGGCAGCCCTCAACGTGCTGGCATGGCCGATTGGATAAGAGGCCGGCCGATTAGTCACTCAACTGTGGGAGGTCAAGGGTTCAATCCCACCGACCGTTTTTTTCAGAAATATTTACTTTTTCTTTTCATAAATATTAGTTTTTTCTATTGGCTAGTTTTCCAATTCAAATTCAGTTCTTCCTCTTTGTTAGTTTTAGCGATATTCTTCTATCAACTATCATAGATATATAGCTATTGCTATATAACTATCAACTATCATAGAGAAATATAGCTATCTCAACTTCTATCATAGATAATATCTTGCAAATCTTGTAGTAAACCAGTTTAAGTGTAAACAGCCCTTGAAACAAACCAAAATAAGCGGGAGCCACCATTCTCGCAATGGTATTCCGATGGCCAACAATAGAGAACCATTGGAAACTGAAGCGAGGAGCGCGTCGGGGTTGAACTACGAAAAGAGTCTAAAAATTTGTTATTAGAATCAGACGAAGTTTCTTACTTGGCTGAATACTTCAATCACTGGCCCAATGATCGAATCCGAATCACTGTCAACTAGCTCATTAAAGATCTCGACGAGGATTCGATGATAGGGCAGTGGATGGAATTGTGCACCTCTTCCCTCATGATCCATTAACAAGACTGATGTAATGATGTTTAGAACCTAAATTGTTGCTTTTTTTTACATTAAGAAAATAGAGAAAATAGGATCATCTTATCCAGAACTAACTTTCTTTAAGAAGTTGACTCTTGTCTGGACGTGAGTGCTGTTCGAGTGTTTGACCATCAGACTGTAAAATATAGTAAGATTCGAAAAATGAAGTTAAAGCTCATATATAGTTTATAATTTCGCTAAATAATGGGTTTATTTTCTCTAAACTCACCAAGTCAGCTTGACGAATGAGTCGAGAATTGAGTAGCATTGATCTCTAATCATTGGAAGGATGATTTCAGCTTCTTTCTAGAAACAAGGAAACGATTGTAATTGCTACTAGCGTCTAATTTTAAAAGTTGGATAACAAATTACTGTAATAAGCTTAGATTTTAAAGGTTGAAAGATTGAATAACTGAATAGCTTAAGTTTTATAAGTTGAATGGTTGAATAACTGAGTAGCTTAACTTCTAAAAGCTGAATTGATTGAATAACTGAATAGCTTAGCTTTTAAAAGCTGAATTGATTGAATAACTGAATAGCTTAGCTTCTATAAGTTGAATGATTGAATAACTGAATACCTTAGCTTTTAAAAGCTGAATTGATTTAATACCTGTAAAAGTCGATAACAAGAATCGACACAAATCTCGGTACCCAAGCTGAAGAAGTGAGTAATCATCTCATCATTGGAAAGAAGACCATAGTTGTGCATCTAAGAGTTTACTAGGTAAATTTCAACATTAACAAGTATAGATCTATTCCTTATAATAATTATTTTATAAATACTTTTGAGATAATCATGGCTAAAGCATCTTTGGGGTTCTTCAGGGCTTCCGGAGTGAAATAAAGATTTCTCCATTCGTCCAAAATCTCGGCTACCTAGAGAATTGTTTGTTGGAGTTGTTGGAATATAAGAATTCAAATTATTCTCACCTTTTTCTGCAGCTCAAGCTTTGCGTTTTGAGCAAAGTTCTCAGTGTGTCCGTGTCCATTGGTTGTTTGATGTTGTTGGTGTTGCAAGATGTCGAGAAGCGCTCCATTTGTCATAGCTGTTTGCGGTTGGTTGACAGATTGAGGTGGTCTAAAAGAGAAAAGTGATTTAACGATTGGTTTTTTTGTAAAATTTTGTACTTTATCCAGTTTTCCTACAATCTTTACAACTTTTTCTGTGAGAAGGTGAAACAGATGGCTAATAAGTTTGAAAATCTTCAATTTAAACTACATCAAACTATTTGGAAAGGGCCGAAATCTTGAATAAGTAAAAGATACAAGAGAATAAGTGTCACCAATCGATTCTCCGATCCCGAAAACCCTTGGGTACAAAGTTACAGCTCAATTTTTGTACTACTAACAATTGAAAATCAATCTCTATCTCTAACAGTCAAACTCTAACAATCCAAAGCCAGAGTCAGAGCTAGAGCCAGAGCCAGAGCCTCAATCTCATACCTTTCCATTCTCTTGAAAAGGTTTCCCACCATTCCTCTTCTTGCTGTATATAGTTTTTCAAGAAAAAAGCTAACTCGTAGCTCAATATCTTCTTTTAGAGCCATCAAAACCCGAGTTCTAATCAATAAATGAATTACACCAATCGATTCCCCGATCCCGAAAACCCCGGGTACCAATTTATGGCTTCTTTTTCTACCATCTACCAAACAAAGAAAAGTCCCTATGTAAATGACTGGCGAGGTGTTCTTTGTGCGGCTGCGTAATCGCTCTCCATCTGGCAAACGATTCTGGTATAGGATTAAAGAATTGAGGCCATTTGCTCCTTCACTAGCACAAATTTTTGGGATCAATTTTTCCCTTAGATTTGGCTGCGTTTTTATCGTTGTTTAGCGCTAGTTTTCTGAATTTGAATAAGTTTAGCCGATAATTTTAGTTAGAATCGCTCTTTAAGTTTCTCAGAGCTTTGACAGCTTAACTCACCTTTGCGAAGCTGCTGCATAATTCTGAAACTGTGAAATAGTGGTTGAGTGTGATGGAGCTCGAGGCGCCATATTGAAGGTGGACAAGTTCATCGGCGGATTCTCCGGCAAAGCCACTTTAAAGCCACAAATCTTTTGCCCCAATTCTTCATATGGATAGGTGTCATGACGAGGAATTGAACCAGGACGAATCCGGAGTGCTTCGGGGAGAAGCATCTGTATGGCGAAGAGTTCCTCGAGTTTTTGAAATTCTCTCTCATCTTTCCTTTGCTTATCGATGTCAATTTTTCTGCCATAATCACCGATCGACTAAAGATTACTGATTACTTTAACTTTGTTCATTGAAAAATACCTTTTCACAAGCGGTTTTCACCACAAAATCCACAGCCAACTCGAGATTTTCGGTCATAACCAGCATAGCAGCTTCCTCGATGAGTTTCTAGAAATCACGGTAGAATTACTTCTTTCTTTCTTCTTCTTCCCCTTTATCTTTACTTCTTTCTTCCTTTCTTCTTCCTTTCTTCTTCCCCTTTATCTTTACTTCTTTCTCTTAGCAAGTTAAGGTACTGAATAGCTTAGTGATTATAGCGCAAAGAAAGCAAAAGATCAAAGCAATCCACTTTCTTGCCAATTCCTTTATTACAAAATGATACTAACCTGATCAATTTGTGCTCCTAAATTTCGTAAACCCATAAGAAATGCTTGAACAAGATAATTGCCCAGAGTTGTCTGCATTGAATCTCGAACCACAATGTAAACCATAGCTAAATCTTGCCATTTTGTTCATTTTAAAAGAATAGTATTGATCTATAGCTAATTGATAGCATTTTTTTCATTGAACTTACCACTAGTGAGTGATTTTATCATGTTAACTCCAGCTTGTTTCGTTTGTTGATCATCATTCGATAATCCGAAATCTTTCTTCACTAGATGTTCCGTAGCAGATGATGAGATTTTTAAGGCTTTCTCATAAATGACACCTAGAAATGACATAAATGAAACCTTGCTTAGAAAAATCGATTTTAAAACCTAAAAGCTCTTTCGTAGCATGTATAAAGGCAGGTTTCAAGAATTGTTTCATCGCTGGGTACATTTGAAATAACGGGTGTTGAGCAGGGATCTATAATTGAATTGAACTTGTTAATACTTGTGATGGTAGTATTTTGTTGATATTTATTGATCTTTTATTGACATTTTATTGATATTTATTGATCTTAATGTTATTAGGATTATATTTTAGTCTAAAAATCAACCTTTAACAGTGAAGCGATGCTTTCAAAAGAGTTCACATCGACTTCAACGTATGAGAAGCGAGGCAACGTTGCTGTTAGCTCGGTAGCTGAAATTTCGATAGTTTAAATATAAGCTAAGCTGGAATGAGCTGGATTACCTTGTTCTTCGGGCACCGGTGATCCAACACTTGATCCACTTGGATGCGATGGTTGTGGTGATGGACTGTAGTGTGGTGGTTGAAGAGGTCGCAGATCGGTCAACTGTTCTTTCAAGTTCTTGAAGCGGTCTTGATCCTGTAAAACACTTTGTAAACTTGTATTTGATGAACTGATAGAACTTATAGTTAGACTAAACTTGATAAACTGATAAGATCAATAATTTAAATAAAATCTAGGTCTAGTTAAAGTTATAGCTTTTTAGCTACAACTTTATCTAGTTGAGCTCTATCTAAATAGCTGTTTAAGCTTAAAAAGCTAATTTTTTTCACTTATTCTGTTACTAGATTGTTAAAATTTAGAATTTACCTCTAAAATCCCTTCCACTTGTTGCATAATCTCTTCCAAATTGATCCCCAACTCTTTAAATAAAACCTCAATCTCGAATTTGAGATTGATCTTTAAATCGGGTGCCGCATGCAATTCAGCCATTACTTTCAATATTCCTTTTATCCAAGCAGATTTCGGGCCAAAGATCTAAAGTCAGAAATTTAAAGAGTTACTGTAAATACTGTAATAGTACCCCACCGCCCTCGTACAGTCGCGTAGTCGCAAAGGTTTTTTAGTATTTCATTTTTTTCAAAGCGCCCGTACTTTCAAAAAATACGTCTTTGGTATCAAAAAATAGCCCTGAATCTCAGCTATTTTTTGATACCAAAGCGCCTATTGTAGCATAAACCAATGTCGAGAAAAACTCGTTCAAAGCTAGACTACCGTATTTATTCTAATAAACGCCGCCCCCCTCGACCAACTTTAGATGCCTCGTCCTCAGCCCGATTTTAGGATATTTTTATGTTTAATATACCAAATGATAGAAGACATTAAGGACTACCTTTTGGTATATTAAACATAAAAATATCTCAAAATGGGACTGAGAACGAGGCGTCTAAAGTTGTTCGAGGGGAGTGGCGTTTATTAGAATAAATACGGTATGCAACGCTGCGCATCGTCATTATTGGAGTAGGGCACTATTACAGTATTCAAATACATTCAAATAACCTACCGTAAATACTGTAATAGTACCCCACCCCCCTTGTACAGTCGCGTAGTCGCAAAGGTTTTTTAGTATTTCATTTTTTTCAAATCGCCCGTACTTTCACAAAAAATACGTCTTTGGTATCAAAAAATAGCCCTGAATTTCAGCTATTTTTTGATACCAAAGCGCCCATTATAGCATAAACCGGTGTCGAGAAAAACTCGTTCAAAGCTAGACTACGCAACACTCCGCATCGTCATTATCGCGGTGGGGTTATTACAGTATTTACGGTAAGTAACATTTGATACCTTTGATTTCAAAGAACTGATAACAATCTTTGCAACAAATGGAACGACGAAGAGGAGCTCTTGTTGACCTTTATAAAAAGCTTCAAGGAGCAGGGATTTTAAATCAATATCCTAAAAATGATGATAGACGTTTAGAAGGTGATAGACGTTTAAAAACCATTGTCAGTATTGGTCTTGATCTCGATATCGACGTTAACCCCAGCCACATTCCTAGATTTTTCAAAAGTGTTCGATCACCATAGTTGTGAACAGCTTCTCGTTTATCACTTCTTAGCAAAACCTAGAAAATAAATTGTAAAAACTATAAATGACATCATTTTTTTTCTTACCTTGATATTTCTTAGCGTTTCCATTTTGATTGTATGATCTAAAGCGATGGAGTTGATGCCTTGCAAGAATTGATTGTATAGTGGTTGAAAATTCGGCTCAATTGAAGCCTAAATGCTGTTTTCTTTTTGTTGTTCTTAAAGTTTATAGATAAATAACTTTAAATTGAAATTGAAATTGAATTGAAATTGAAATTGAAATCATTTAAACTGAAATTATAAACCTACTCTTTTCATGACAATGTATTGAGCTAGCCATCTCACGAATTTCTCTCCACAACTGGTGATCATCGATCGAACCTCATCCACTTTTTCTTGAAGACTTCTTTGAGAGAGATTGTTGAAAAGAAAAGCAATCTATAGAATATTTTATTAGTTACCGTAAATACTGTAATAGTACCCCGCCCCCGACAAAAGGTTAGCTAAAGGAAAATGGGTAATCGTTATCGTTATCTTTATCGTTATCGTAATCTTTCTGTCTACAGTATAACAGTATAAAAACCTCTATTCTTACCGTAAATACTGTAATAGTACCTCACCCCCCTCGTACAGTCGCGTAGTCGCAAAAGGTTTTTAGTATTTCATTTTTTTCAAAGCGCCCGTACTTTCAAGAAATACGTCTTTGGTATCAAAAAATAGCCCTGAATTTCAGCTATTTTTTGATAACTAAGCCTTTATTGTAGCATAAACCAGTGTCGAGAAAAGCTCGTTCGAAGCTAGGCTACGTAACACTCCGCACCGTCATTATCTTTGGTATCAAAAAATAGCCCTGAATTTCAGCTATTTTTTGATGCCAAAGCGCCCATTGTAGCATAAACCAGTGTCGAGAAAAACTCGTTCAAAGCTAGACTACGTAACACTCCGCATCGTCATTATGGGGGTGCGGTTATTACAGTATTTACGGTATATCTTTTTTAAAAACTCCCTTATCTATCAAACCTTTTCCATGAGTTCCTCAGGCGGTTTCTCGCATTCACTGCCTTCTCTTTGAGCGGCAATGACGAGTGTGTCCACATTTGTCGACGATAGAAATGTTGATCCCTAAAAATTAGCTCAAATTAGATTATTTTTCTGAATTTGAATCTTGATCTGAATAAGTTTAGCCGATAATTTTAGTGAGGATGGGCTCTTTAATTTTCTCGGAGCTTGACAGCTCAACCTTTGCGAAGAAGATAAGCTAATTTGAAAAGAATTTGAAAAATTGTTTTGATTATTGTTCTACACACTTATCAGTTCTATTAAATTGATTAAACTATTCTAAAAGTCATCTGTTATCTAATAGCCATCTGTTAGTCATAGAGAATATCTGTTAGAGCACTCTAAGCTCTAAGGATTGCACAAATTGATTGAAAAGTTTTTCTAGTTGAATCTTTAAGAATAATACGGTTTTTTTTAATAATAGATATCTTTTTAATAGACTTTTCTATAAAACTTACAGGTCTTGTTGGATGCAACGACATGACATCACATTCGTTCGTTTGGAGAAACCCGAAAGCGCCACACCGGGATGCGTTTGCGTTTTGATTATTTTTCAAGCTAAATAAATAAGATATTGATTAGTTTGAATAAAAAGAAAAGAAAACTAGAGGAATTCAATAATGGCATAGTTTTGCTTGAACTGCTTGAATGATTTCATCCAACTTAACTGCTGGATGCTTTCATCCAACTTAACTATTGGATTTCTTTGAAGATTCATCCCCTCCCTTTGTCTTTAAAGATTCATTCCCAGAACGGAATTTAACAAATATTGATTAGTTTGAATAAAAAAAAAAGAAAACTAGAGAAATTCAATAATGATGGCATAGTTTTAATGATGAAATCTCTTTGATGAAATGAAATGAGTTGAAAATTTGAAACTTAATTAACAAGTTGATAAGCATAAATAGTAAAAGGAAAGTATTGATGATTTGATTTGATTTGATTTGATTTAAGGAATCAGCTGTTATTGAAGAGGATTTGGGGAAGGGGAGAGTGACGAGTACGGGCCATTCCGTTCGTTCGATCTATATGAGGAAAGAAGGGGAAATAGGAGAGAGCAGAGAATAAAGGAAAAGAGAAAGAATAATTGCCACTCTAATTGTGACTTTCCAGAAGGCAATGTCATAAAAGATTCAATTATTTTCGGCTTTGGGTTTTTTTTCGAATGTAACGAGTGACTTAGGATTTTGCTATGAGCATTTAGAAGAGATTCTGATTTTTCTAACAATGTTTGATTTTATTGATTTATTATATTGTATGATTATGATTGTAAGTCGAAAGGAAAGGAAAAAAGATGAAGATTGGCATTGAATTGTGGACCATTTACTGGCAGATGTTCATCTGAACTATCAGCAAGTTAGCTGTTAGTTCCCAATCTGTCGAAGCTGGGTCTAGCTATAATGCTAATTGTAAAGAAATATTCTTTGCGTGCTTGGTACTCTTCACTCAAGCCTACGGTATGCAACGCTGCGCATCGTCGTTATTGGAGTAGGGCACTATTACAGTATTCAAATACATTCAAATAACCTACCGTAAATACTGTAATAGTACCCCACCCCTCTTGTACAGTCGCGTAGTCGCAAAGGTTTTTTAGTATTTCTTTTTTCAAATCGCCCGTACTTTCAAAAAATAGCCCTGAATCTCGGCTATTTTTTGATACCAAAGCGAGCATTGTAGCATAAACCAGTGTCGAGAAAAACTCGTTCAAAGCTAGACTACGTAACACTTCGCACCGTGATTATGGGGGTGGGGTATTATTAAAGTATTTACGGTACGCACTTAAAAAAAATGTTTTTGCTCTGGCAAATTTTCCTTTTGCTCTTTTTTATTGAGCAACTCGTCAGTCAACCGAATCTTCGAAACGAAAAACCTGAATTTAAAATATTTGTGAGTTGATTTAAAACCAACAGAAGTTAAAGTAAGTTAGAAGCGTTTGTAGTTTACGTTTGTAGCTTCTAATGCTTATATGTACTTAGCGTAAATACTGTAATAACCCCATCCCCCATAATGACGGTGCGAAGTGTTACGTAGTCTAGCTTTGAACAAGTTTTTCTCGACACTGGTTTATACTACAATGCGCAGTTAGGTATCAAAAAATAGCTGAAATTCAGGGCTATTTTTTGATACCAAAGACGTATTTTTTGAAAGTACGGGCGCTTTGAAAAAAATGAAATACTAAAAAACCTTCGCGACTACGCGACTGTACGAGGGCGGTGGGGTACTATTACAGTATTTACGGTAGGTTATTTGAATGTATTTGAATACTGTAATAGTGCCCTACTCCAATAATGACGATGCGCAGTGTTGCATACCGTATTTATGCTAATAAACGCCACTCCCCTCGAACAACTTTAGACGCCTCGTTCTCAGTCCCATTTTGAGATATTCTTATGTTTAATATACCAAAAGGTAGCCCTTAATGTCTTCTATCATTTGGTATATTAAACATAAAAATATCATAGAATCGGGCTGAGAACGAGGCATCTAAAGTTGGTCGAGGGGGGCGGCGTTTATTAGAATAAATACGGTAGTCTAGCGTTGAACGAGTTTTCCTCGACACTGGTTTATGCTACGATGCGCGCTTAGGTATCAAAAAATAGCCCTGAATTTCAGCTACTTTTTGATACCAAAGACGTATTTTTTTGTGAAAGTACGGGCGCTTTGAAAAAAATGAAATACTAAAAAACCTTTGCGACTACGCGACTGTACGAGGGCGGTGGGGTACTATTAGAGTATTTACGGTATAAATTTAAACTATTAAAATAGCACGCAAACGCAACTCTGAGTTTCTTATAAAATAATGAAAATCAATGTTGTTTGTTTCTCATTGTTTCATTGCTATTTCATCTTTTCCCTTCGCTTTTCAACAAAACAAAACATTTGTTTACGATGAATCAAATATTATTTATACAGATAGACACAAAATTAAAGCGAAATGAAATGAAATTCAAAAATTCAAAAAGAAATTTCAACTTCAAGGCACAAATCTCTAAAAAAAAGGCTTTATGGTAACACAAGATTAACACAAAAACGAGAAAAAAAAAGACATAAAACCGATTTGGAATATAAACATGGCAATGAAATTTGATGAACAACACGATTACAGTAGAAATCTCCATAAGAAGCCTACCGTAATTCAAACAAAAGTTGAGATAATCTTTTCAAGGTTATGAGCACTTTGTAAGGCAATATTTTGAGTGAGTTGAAGCAGAAAAAGTGTCAAATTTTAACTAACTAAGCATTTTTTCATTTGAAAGTCCTGAAGGCACATGTTTTATCAGAGATCCAATAAGTAAAATAGATTTTAGATTGGATTTGAGAGAAAGGAATGACACAATGAGACATTTTTGTAGAGAGTGGTAAAGCAGGAAATGAGAAAAGTTGAAAAACCGTGATTTCAATAGAAATTTATGGGTTTTCTATTCGTTTAAACTTTTCTTTTGTATTCGAACTTGAATTGGAATCATTAATCTAATATCAGAACATTCTTGGATCTATTGAAATCTCTTGCAAATCTAGATCTCACAGATAATTCATAAAACTAGTAACCAGCTCTATTGAAATCTGAAGGTAAAGATGAATGAGTTATATGCAAATTTGGCTATAGAAAGACGGCTTTTTTGAGCCGAATCCAACGGGCAGACTAGCACCAAAAGAGAACAGAAAAATGGCAAGAAAACGAAAAACTTAGAAAGTTCAAAGAACCAATCGACTTCTTGCTTTAGAATTTCTTAGCCTGGCTTGCTTAATGATCAGGAAAAATTAACAGTCGACTCTCGATATAACGACTCATATTTACGGTCTCCGCCTTACTTACTTCTATATAACGATGTTCGATATAATGACTCCATTTCGCAATTCCGACATAGTCATTATATCGAGAGTCAACTGTATAAAGCATGAAATTCATTCAGCAGCACTCAAAATTGAACTCTTAAACTTTCCTTTCTAAATTCTCAAAAACTAAATCAAAGCTACAATAGAAATTTGGTCATATCAACTTATATTAAGGCTATTTATAACTACCATTGCTCAAAAGGCAATCCCTTTCCATCCTCCATCAGTGAATCGGCTGTAGTTGGTTGTGAGAGGTTCATGTCAACATCGCCCAATTGATAATGTCCTAACATTCCGCCGTAGTCGAAACTCGTGACATACTCTGGACCACCGGATAGTACAACGCACGGTTCCATCTGAATATGGTAATCTAGATCTGAGTAACAGTAGCTGAGCTCTGCTGAGCTCTCAAATGCAGCCTCTATGCCTAGGGGATCGAACTCTGCGACCATTCGCTTTCCGGACAAAAGCTCTGCCACTGAGCTACGAGTGTACAGGAAAACCCTCCTTCCAAAACGCTCATAACAGCTCATATGAGCTTCTTTCTGGGATCATAATAACTTCAACTTCAAAAGAAAGTTAGAATTTGAATTTTGAGTGCTAAATTTTCAATCACTCCCACGTACCGGTTGCTGATAATTGATGGCTGATTGTGAAAGCATGACATCTGGTTGAGTAGTGACAATGTATTGTGGATGAGAGACAGCTGAAGGAATCGATTCATGGCCTAGGTGATAGTCGATCGGTATGGAGATTCCATTAGCGAGAGAGGTTGAAGTGAGGTGGTGGACGGAAGGCTGAAAAGGATTTCAAAACTTCAAAACCCTTTCAAGTCTCAATATTTTTCCAATCACTATATCAATCTCTACCAAATGCTGAGGACTGTGTAGCCCATTTATCCGATTGATGTTCATCAAATTGAGAGGCAACGAGACATTCAATGGAGATTGAGAGGTCATCGATGAGGAGAGGAGATTGTGCGAGTAGTTGAACTAAAAGAAATTTTGTTTTAAAATTTCTTAAGAATTTGTAAACCTGTAAATCTTGTGAATGTAAGAGATTCACATCAGGTTTCATGTCACTGAAAAGGGGATTCGAGAGCATGTTGTGTGATTCGTCCATCGATCCAAGAAGGCCATTCCGTGACGGATCCATGTCAGTGCTAAAATTGTTCTTATTTAACAATATTTAACAATTTCTTATTGTCATACTGCATGATTCAAAAAAGAAAAAAAAAGAAACTCTAGAAAATTAAGGTTTAACTACAAAAAATGCGAACTTAACTTAGCGAAAAGTTAAGCTTTGATTTCTAGTCATGATTTTTCGTCGGCTGCCTAGGAACCATCATGGACGACTGGCTAAGAGCCCTGTATGATAGTCGAAAGGTCAAGGGTTCAATTCCGCAAGCCGCATTGTTAGTTCTTTTTTTTTCATCTACATGGATTTTTCTTTCCTACATTTAGGGGTTGTGCTTTGTACAACTTTTTTGTGAATAAATGTACTTCTTTTAATACAATTGCATAAAATTAGCTTTTCATTGAAAAAAAAGACGTGAAATCTATTTAACTAGATGATTTCACCCATACCAATCCAATGCTTTAAACAATTGCAAACATAAATTACCTGCACAAATGAACGAGTAGGTTCTGATTGCTTTGTTGAACGAGGGTGTCTAAAGAGGATGTGTCCAAATCGAGTGGATGATCGGATCCATGGAAAAGTCCCGGTTGCAACCAGCTTTTGTGCTCTTGCTGAAATTAGAATTTGTACTAAAATTCTAAAAATTTGTTTAGAGCTCAAATGCTCATTAAAAACTAACATTATTGATAATATTTGTGGCTTGTTGTGCTTGGAGAGCCATTAGGGCGGTGGTGGTGTTGTTTTGAGAGTTGTTCTGCAAAATCAAATTTTATATGGTTAATTTTGCAGAAGTTAATATGCATATTGTTTTTTATTCTTCTTTTTATTCTGTTACCTTTTTCTTTTTTGGTGAAGCGGTGGTGATGAGAGGTTGTGATTGGATTGCCGTCGAGATACTCGCATTTGAACCTTCAATTTGACCTCCCTCTTCCATCATCTCAAGCTAGAATTGGACAAATGAAGCAGTTAACTCCATCTGGAGTCAGGAGATAAAAAAACATATGCTGGACTCAAACCCGCGACATTTTGCTTACCGGCCAATTGTGCTAACCATTACACCACAATGCACCTGTTTTCTTTACTCAAGAGGGAGTTAACTGGCGACCACAGTGGCATGGGCTCTGCAATGCTGGCTAAAGTCTTCATACCTAGTTTCGAGCGCACCCCAGGCCTATAAAACGAGACGTGGAACCGTCTCGTCCAGAGAGGAGGGAAGTTAACACCTGCTGGAGTAATGGGGATCAGGTGCGTTTTGGTGAAATGGTTAGCACGGTTGCCGGGTAAGCGAAAGGTCGCGGGTTCAAGTCCCGGCAGCGAAAAAGTTTTTGATCTGACCTAGTTCCAATTAAACTAGAATAATATTTAGCTTATCTAAAATAAAGCTAATTTCGAAAGCTTACAGTTTTAACCAATCGAAGCATTCAATGGACTTTTCCTTAGATTTTTCAGTCAACAGTTAGGGTAAAATAATATTTTTAATCTTAACTTGTCCCTTTTTTTGTTTTCTAACTCAAATTCCTTGTCTCAATATTATAATCCCAACAAATCAGGGAACAGTTGCTCATTCGATGAGTTTTAGAGCCATCGATGAGGTCATTAGTCATATTTATGAATGACATGTCTCACTTCATCCCCCAATCCCATTTCTTTTCCCAATCTTTTCCCTTTCGACACGTGCACTCATTAGAAATTTGAATTTATGGAATTTTCGATGAATTGGTGAAATGGAAATCAAAAAATTACCAATCGCTTTTTGGCCGCTGTGGCATAAGTCAATTGTCGAAGATCGTTGTCGAGAACGGTTGAAGATTCGTTTTTTCGGAGATGCATTTCCTGAAAATTAGTATTAAACTTTAAACTTAAAATTTAACTCTAAAGAAAGCTTTAGTTTTCATAAATGAATGTTTTAGCTCTATGAATTTGCGCAAGATTGTGTTGTAAGTCAAGAGAATCTCTTTTCGTACAATCTTTCAAACTTGTGAAGTCCTGAAGTAATAGTAATCTTTTTTAAACTGTAAAAATCTTTCTTACCTTGTGACATTTAAGAGAGTTCTTCCATTTAAACGTCATCTGGCAAACCGTGCAGACAAAAGGTTTTGCGTCAGAGTGAATTCGCTTATGATTCCAAAGAGTAGATCGACGATTGAATTTCGCTTTGCAAACCTGAAATGAAAACCGTAAAAAAAAAGTAATTGAAAATGGTGGAATTTCTTTTGCAATTGTAATTGGGTAATTGAAAATTGTGCAAGAAACAACTCACATCGCACTCAAAAGGCTTCATTCCAGTGTGACTGTTTTGGTGTTCTTCAAGCTCCATCTTTGAGCCGAACCTCGATGGGCATAAATTACAGGGATACGGCCTTTTCCGATCAGCCGTCAAAATCCTCCCTAAAACTATTATGTTTAACAAAAGCCAAAAGCTTATTCACAAACCATTTTTGGTGTGATTAAGATTGAGCAACTCATTGTTATTGTTTGGATTGCAAAATGGGCTCCCCAATCCAAAGCCACTGACTCCAAAAAGCATATCGGCATCGGCTCCTAGAAACTTGAAAGTTTAGGTTATTTTTAGCTATTTAGGTAAAGCTATTTAGGTACCTGTTATAGCTAAAGGTAGCTATAACAGGTAAAGTACAAAGTCTTTACCTCTTCATTATCTAAATGAATGATTCTCAAACTACCAAATACCAAACGATTTCTTTCATTATAAATGTTTATCGTTTACTTCTTGTCACTTTTAAACAATTTTTAGTGTTTTAGAGTAATCTGCGAGAATGAAAATTGGTATTTTTAAAAATATTGAAAAATGAGCACATAAAGAAAACTGCTAAACGGATTATTTTGAAATTTTGGTTGTAGATCTAACTTTTTGTGCGCTATCTTTTTTACTTTGTCATCAAAATAGGTTTTATTAAAAGAAATGGTCTAAATCGCATCATCGGACCTTGTCATTTTTGAAAATTCGGCTTTTTGCTAATGAAAAACCTTCAAAACAAAGTTTTTCAGAAACTTTGAAAAGTAATTTTTAAGAGAAATGATTGGGCTATCTCAGAAAGAAACCGTATTTTATTTGATAGTCTGAAACTTCTTCAATTAGAAAATGAATTTGGGTGCAAGACTTAGTACTCAACCTCATACAAGATTTAAACTTTCAATCACTGAACTTAAGGTTAAATGTAATTTTTGAAAGGATTTTAGACGTAGTAGCTCAGTGATACTTGATATCGGAGCATATCCAACTGATTATTGGACTGTGAATCATTTAGAGCTACTATATTGTTACGTACGTTATTGAATTTCATCCGATTCAGAATCGGAAGTCCGTTTTTAAATCCTCCAACCTACACTTTGACGATTTTTGTTTTTTTTTAATGATCTATGGTTTTAGCAAGTATAATTTTAATTTCTAATACTTTAAATTCATAATTTAAATCCTAGTTAACTTGCGCGTTCCGCATTTTTTCTTTATTTAAGTTTTTATAAGTTGTGCTTATCATTTATATTTTCGATCGTTTGTTATCGATAAATTTAAAAGTTTGATGATAGATGCTTAATGATTAAAAGAAAAAAATCCATTAGCTTTGAAGATTTAGTAGTAAAGTTTGGAAATTGTTTAGATATAGGTTGGACGATTCAAAAACGGACGTCCGATATTGAATAGAGTCAATAACGGACGTAACACATATAGCAAAATCCCAATTCTTAGATTGTTAGCAAATTTCTTAACGATTCAAAACTAGATTAAGCTTAGAGATCTAACAGATATTTCCACCCACCATGCATCAATCCACCCATTCCTTTGTCCGTTTTTCCATCAGCCGTCGAGGGCAATTCATTCTTGATCGCTGCATAAATATCATGATGAAGTGACAAAGGGAGTTGGGCAGTTTGTAAATGATCAGCACCGCCAATTGGTGGATCGAGGAGTTTATCAGCTTCTAGTCGAACATCTTTGTTCACATCGAGTAACCGAGAGAGATCCTTGATGTCATCAGTGAGTACAAGATGTGGGACTCCACCACCATCACATCCGAGTCCGTCCCTTTCAACCGTCATTCAGCAGTGAATGGGAGTGAATTGGTTACCTGAAAAATTGAAGATTGAATATTGAAGATTTAAAAAACAGAAAACAAACGAAAAAACGAAAAACAGCTTAAATTTCACTTACGATAAGACAAGAAAGTTTGATTATCGAAGTTTTAGTGAACAGGTTAGCAAAGAAAACAATGGGGAGATAAATCTTTGGAAATTATCAATGAACTTTTAGATATCACACGTAATAATCAAAAAAATCTCTAGGATAACAATAGTACAAAACGAGAAAAACAAATGAGCTGTTTCTTTAAGGAATTTGGCAATGAATATGGCAATGGATCCCATTCACAAACCTAAAATCAATTACCGTATTTCTTCGAATAGAAGACCGGGTAAAGAGTATCATCGCGTACTCCTGCGTAGCAGCCCTTTTTAAAATTTCTTTTCTGCATAAAAGCTTTCAATCAAGTGCTATAGAGCTGGAAAATGACTCAAAAATACCACATGAGCTAACAGATTTTTGAGCCATTTTTCAGCTCTATAGCACTTGATTGAAAGCTTTTATGCAGAAAAGAAATTTTAAAAAGGGCTGCTACGCAGGAGTACGCGATGATACTCTTTACCCGGTCTTCTATTCGAAGAAATACGGTAAGCTATGTTTCTTTATGGATTTTAGTGCGCTATTTATACATTAACATTTCTTTAGTCAAGAAAATTATCAAAATTTATATCTAATCTTGCTTATAATCTTATAAATTAAAAATTTATAGAACTTTTATTCAAATAGATTTAAAAGGATACTTTATTGTATTAGAAAATCTATAGAAACGAGAATGTTAGACTTAAGAATCAAAACATTTGGCTAATGAAAGTAAAACTAATTTTAAAAATGACAACTTTTAATGTTTGAATGGGTTAAGGCTCCGAGAATCCCTCGAAATGAAATAAGCCAAATTGTTATCCTTTTTTAAATGAATAAACTCTTCAAAATCTATCATCAAATAACTCCGCTAAGAGATTTTAAAATATTTCCAAGAGAAATTTGATTAGCTTAGTTCATTAGCTCAAATACAATATCGAAATCCCTTACTTTTCTGTTTTCGCTGAAGAAACACAGAAATTAGACTAAAGGAAAAAGCTGGGATCCCATGTGGTTTCTGGCAGTGCGCGAAGGAAAAAGGGGGATGGGCACTGAAATTGCGCAGGAAGGGGAAGGGAGGGGAATGGGTTAAGGCCTCGAGAATCCCTCGAAATGCAATGAGCCAAATGTTATCCTGTCTGTGGTAAGTCTAAGGAAAGTTTACCTCATTTTGTACGTGAATTTCATTTGTTGTGTAGATCAAAAGAATACTTTGAGGTCAAATTTCAATAATAATGCTAGCTTGTAGCTTGTAGGGAACATTTAAACAGTTATCTATAACTTGTAGGTAATATTGTAACAGTTATCTATAACTTGTAGCTTGTAGGGAACATTTTAACAGTTATCTATAACTTGTAGCCTGTAAGGAACATTTTAACAACTATCTATAACTTGTAGGGAACATTTTAACAGTTATCTATAACTTGTAGCTTGTCAGGAACATTGTAACAGCTATCTATAACAGCTATCTACAAGTCTTTAACAGATCTATAAGTGTTTAACAAGATCATAACTTTGACTATGCACAATTTTGGAGTGATGAATTCAAGTTTAAAGACTTTAGAAGTAAAGCTTTAAGAGCTTAGCTTTAAGAGATGAGCTTTAATCTTAAATCAAATACAGAAAAACATCAGAAAGGCTAAAAATCCATTTTTTACCAGAAAAAGCTTTAAAATATTAACTTTAAGAACAAAATGGAGAAAAGATCTCTCAAAAACAATGCGAAAACTCTAAGAAGCAAGAAATCGATTGATCAAAGGAAATAGGATAAACTATTTGAAAAGCGGCAACACTTAAGTGTGCCAGTGCAAAGTATCCATATCCATTTACTTGAGGATACCGTAATCGGAGAAGGCCAGGAAAGGAAATGTTTATTGGAAAGGGATGCCTTGAAAAGATCCCTCGGTCACTCCCCGCCCCAGACAGTTGCTCCCTCCCCTTTTAGCTCATCTCTTCAATTCTTGGCCCTTTTGCTTCTCTCTCTTTTCATCGACCTGGATCCTCCCCTTTTCACCCTTAGAAACAGTGATTCGAGCTCGATTGATTGAATTGAGTACAAGAAACTGGGAAAGGTCAAGAATGTTGAGGTTATTGCAGGCTTCCTAGCAACTACCGTATTCCAGTTGTAGGTTATTGTAGTCTAGTAACTTTACCGTAAGCTATAGATTAGATTCCTACCGTACTTTGTTTAGCGTTGGTTACTCTGACTATTTCTTTTGATTCATTTCCTTCTTAGTACTCAATGGAGTAAAGTGAAGCGAAGTTTCTTCTAAGTAAAGTTTCAAATTTCTCTATGAAGCTCGACAAGGTAAAAGATCGCTAAAAAGGTTGACAGTTCAACTCTCGGTGTGCGGATAAACAAGTGATCCTCAGAGAACTGAAGGAGAATGATGAGTATGTCGAGAGAAAATATGGTTTGGTTGAAGAGAGGAGTTCAGCTCGAGATGGAGGGAGGGTGAGGAGGGAACAGCCGCGCGCTTCGGTTCTCTGCCCCATCCATCAGGCCCTCGACACGCTCAAATGGAGAATGAGGTCCCGTAGAGGGGAAAGAGCCGTTTACCTCCTTGCAACTTCATCTACAGACGCTTTCGAGATATAAACGATCGGCAATCAAATGCCACAACTGGGGGATGAATCTGGGAAGACAAGGGAAAAGGGAACTGTTGGAGCTTTGACTTTCAAGGTCTTAAGCTAAAGCTAAGATCTCATTTTAACTCTTAAAGTCTAACTAGACCTGTTATAGGATATTTGGCTGCTTAAAAATCATTTAAATATTTTCATAGGAATTCAGAGGATACATAGAATGATTGCAAGAAACTATAAGATATCAGAAAATTATGCAAATTCTTAGCTATTCAATTTTGAATCAATTCAATCAAATGCCCTTTACTGTAGGAACGATTTGGCCGTGATAATGGTTGTAGATAAAGATGTGAATCATTGGATGAAAAGGAAGGCCTCGATGGTTTCGAGAAAAGGAAAAGATGGTTGAAAAGGGAATTCAAAAGGCGATGGTTGATGAAAAAAAGATGAAAACATAATGGACTGAGGCGGAGATTTTTTGGCATTATAAAGTCGAAATTGGTTTGAGAAAGAACTCAAGGGTTGGAATAGAGCTTAACTTTGATTCAAGATTGTTAGCCAAACGTTATAATAAGTTATGAAAACATAATGGACTGAGGCGGAGATTTTTGGCATTATAAAGTCGAAATTGGTTTGAGAAAGAGTTGGAATAGAGCTTAACTTTGATTGAAGATTGTTAGTCAAATGTTAAAATAAGTTAAAATTCTAATCTTGCTCATTTCAATTCACTAAAGCGCAAAAATTAAGATCAAAGTAAAGAATAAATAACGGCAATTCTACTACAGTATAAAGGGTTTCCGATGATGTGGAATTGAAAGAAAGGAGGCGAAGAGAAAAGAAAAGAAAAGCATGTGAAATGGCAAAACAGTTGTTCGTGAATTTGAGAAGTGAAGGGGAAATTGGAAGAGAAAAGTGCGTTTGCGTATTTCGAGTCCTCAAAAGAGTATTGGTTGAGAGTGCGGTAGTGGGAAGAGACCCGGAAAAGGGCGGAGATGAGAATGTTCGATTTAAACTTAAGAACTAGTAATGTTCGGAATCTAAAGTACAAGTTAAAACAAAATCAGTTTGAAAAAAAAGCACAATGATGATTTGCATAAGCTTTCAGCATATCTCAATTTTAAGTAGAAAACTTTAAAAATTCTATACAAAAAGCTTTATATTATTAAAAGCTTTGTAGTAAAATCAAAAATTCAGCTTAAAGATTGCAAAATATTCTTGAATTTAGCGATCTAGACATCTAGCTCTCGATCTAGCTCATAATCAGGCTCGATTGCTTAATTACGATCGATGGCTCGATTGCTGAATTGCGATCGATGGCTCGATTGTTTAATTGCGATCGATGGCTCGATTCTTAGCTAATAGATCAATTAATTAGTAGATCAATTCCACTAATTAGTTGAGAAAACATTGAAAAAGAAGAAAAACGAAAAGAAATTTGTATGGCAGAAGGAGGAGAAGAGGAGCAACAGGTCATGAAGGTCGGGGAAAGGAGAGAACTCATCTCGAGACAAGATGCCATCTCTCCATCCCTTTCCATCCCTTTCCATCTATTGCCTTTCTCGTGAACCGGATACCAGCTATAGACATGGAATGAGAGAATGCCTTTCTGAGACTATCAGACTGTTTCTCTTTATGTTCGAGACTCTAAATAAGCGCTTGAGGGGAGAAAGTCGAGAATGGATTTAGACGATAAGGGAAAAAACTTTTCAAAAGCTAAAGTAGAAAGCATTGAAGAAGAAGTGAGAACAGTTTTAAAGAAAGCAGAATGATTAGCAGATAGGAGAAAAGGTTTGTGACTTTGCTTAAAAATTGAGTATTGAACTATACTATAAAATAAACTCAATAAAGTAATTGTACTAATATCTTTGATCAAAACTTGATGAGTATTTGATAAATCAGTTATTTTAGTTTTTTTCATTCTATAGCTGAAAGATTATTAGCCATTCAAACCAAAATTTCAACTCATCTATTCACTGAGACTCATTTCAAACTCTCGAAATGGCATCCTCGATCTCCAAACCAAAATCTGTGTCTTTTCTTTTCTTTCCAAATAACAGAACACATCTGGTGGGCATGGCGTCGTATAATGAGTAATAATTATTGCGGCAGCACAGATGACTTCAGAAAAAAAGAAGAAATAGAGAAATGTTAGACTTTTGTGTGGATTTGTCATTGACTTGATTGGTTGAAAGGGGAAGAATAATGAGTGATGAAGAGAATTCAAAGCCATACAATCAGAGATTTAAGTCTGAAATGAGTTCTCTATCTCAAAAAGATGTTCTTTCTGTAAAATCTTATC